CCCGGTATCGGTTCGTCATTTACAAAATCGGTATACCGGTTTTGGTACCGGTACCGGAAAACCGTTATCGGAAACCCGGTTTAAATAGGTCCCGAAAGACCGGTTTCAATCCGACAAGAAAAATAGGTTCATGATAATATGAAAATCAAAAACCTGTATAAAACGATTTCGGTACCGGATTTTGTACAAAGCTGTTTATGTTTTCCTACTCTAGGTATAATCATATAGTACATTAGGTTTACATAAATAATGGTTAGTTTTTCCCTTATAATTTATAATTTATTTTTTATTAACAACGGCAGCATATGTGTGTGTCTGTATAGTAATAAATATAACAATCCAGAATTCTGCCCTATTAAAAAAAATGTTTTCAGGTTCAAATGTGTTATTAAAAAATTGGCGCCGGGAGGAACGTATAGCCGCCCCACAGTGGGATATTTGACACCGATAATTGATCGAAATTTTTTTATGTAGACCTTATATAAATTATTGCTATTTTCAATTAAAGAGGAAATAATATGAACAAAATAAAGGATAATTCGTCGATTCTAAAAAAAAGAAAGAAAAATCACGGTTCCAGTGTTTCCACGGTCAATGCCACTAATGCCAGTAGTGATATCGCAACTAATACTACTAATGCTACGACTGATCCGCGACCAGTGTCCATACCACTAAAGCCGCTACTAATGCCAAATTGTGCTATACTGCTAATGGCACTAATGCGATCGCTTTGTACACAACAATGCCATCGCGGTTTACACCTCGCATTAGTATATCACTGATTTTCAAATTAGAGGAAACCAAGAATGTTTTTCTCATTTCATCAGCAAAATCGCAAAAAGTCGCAGTATTTTATTTTATTGTATGAAAGCCCAATGTTTACTAAGTAAAACGTATATAGACAATATGCTGAATTCTTCGAAATGCGCAACTAAATCTCTAAGTATAATAAAAATGTCACAAATTTAATCAAATTTTCTGAATGCCTAACTTTTAGTTGCAAAAAAAATCGTTAGTATAGAGACTATCAAAATAAATAATATGTTTTTGTAGAATACATACCTGCAGCTTGCTGAGCCATTTTCAATCAAACCAATAATATAAACGTAAAAGGAGCACAAGAACAATAACAATTTATAATTTTAAACATAAAATTTAGCCATTTACCTCTTATCTGTGAGAAGTAACAACTTTGACGTTTCGTTGAAACAAATGAATGCAACTAAACACATCCATAGCAACGCCATTCATGGCAGACATGATTTAACTTATCATTTATCTTTTTTTGGGAAACCTTAAACACATTTGCTTTTTCGAATTTCGATCACCTTTTTCATGCTAATACTCCACCCCATACTAAAATATGTATGTATATACTTATATACTCCGCCCATACTTAAATATGTTAATAAAAAGTTGGTAGGCGATTCTTTTAGTTTCAAAGTAAAGGAATTTTTCCATTTTTTTTATCTCAAAAACTGCGACTTTGACTGATTTTGATGTTATTACAAGTTTTGTTGCAAATATTATTCATTAAATTTTTAACCCGGGGTATGGGAGGGAGTTACCAACCCCCTACCACCACCAAAAACTAATGGCCAGATTATCGGGTGCCACAGTATTTTTGTGCCAAATTTGGTTAAAATCGGTTTTAGCGGTTTTTGAGTTATCGTGTTACAGACGGACAGACACACAGACAGACAGACATTTATGACCCAAATAACTCATTTTGAGTGAAATTAAAAAATCTAATTTTTTGCCGATCTTAATAGCCTACCATACCTGTTGGTATGATCGGCTAAAAATTAAAGTTGTTTTCCAACTAGATAAATAACAAGAAAAGAGACCTTCTCTTGCTTTATTTTTGACATGTTCTTTTTGTAATGTAATGAAATATACTTTGACTCAAATGTAAATCCGACGGTTATATTATACAGGGTGGCGCACCTCATTCACCTCGGTAGATTATACGAAAACGGAAATATGTAGAAACAAACTTTTTATGAGTATATGTAGGGAGGCAATGTGCATAATATAAAATTATTTTGAAAATTACAGGGTGTGTGAGAACTAAGATCCACACCCAAGTTATATTTTTTCTTATGGAACACCCGGTATTTTATTGAATTTTTGGATTCTTGGGCATAAAATAAGGAATTTATTATAAGGGTTTAATATGTTTAAATGCTTTGGTTTTTGAGATATTTAAAGATATTTAAATATGCATGCTATGTAAAAAGTTTGTCAACACCCTGTACATTACTTTTCAGGGTTAATTCTTGTGTTGACTTTTGAAGCCAGAGAAATAAACTTTACTAAAAAATGTTATTGCTTCCTTAAATATATACAGGGGTATCAAAAATTTCTGATCTATTTTAAATATTTATTTTACATAAAAACTTCGTTATTTCAAATGCAACACTATGTATTTTTTAAAAAAAGTCGAAGCAGATTTAAATGCTCTTCAAAATCGATATTAGTTTATGGACTTTATTTAAATATATAACAGGTTATTTTTATTTAATTTATCTACAATAAAGTTAAGAAGTAAGTATTTATTCTATTTAATTTACCCCTTTTTAAAACCTAAATATTAGTTAAACATCCCAAAATTGTTATATCAAATAATATTTTTATTCGAAGAAAATAAGGTATATTATATTTTCAGTTTTCATTAAAATTTCATAAGTCTTTTTGTATTTTAAGATACAATTATGAATAGATTTTTTTCCGATATATTGATAGTTATCGATATAGTTATAGATATGTAGATAATTATCGATATAAAATATATCGAAAGGTGAATTGCCATACTTATCGATAGGTAAAATCCATTATCGCCCATTCCCAATGAGCACCGATGCAAATGATTTAAAATCTGTATTAAAAATAAAATTCCAATAAAATGGTTGGATATAATCGATTGAAACACTTGGTATTCCGACCGAACGCATAGATCTTGCATCTTTTTGTATTGCTTTCCCGAAACAACAAACGAAGACTAACAAGAAACGTGTTTCCTTGGTTCTCTTTTTTTGAAAATGAAAGAAAAAAACACCGACTTACATTTCCTTGACGGTTTTTTTCTGATCCCGGAGCAAATCTCAAATAATCGTCTTTCCGTGGAGGATTTCCTTGTCACGGTTATATGTATGGTAATAACGTAATAAAAAAACGTTTTATATAATATTTTTTATTCGTATAAAGAATTATGTGTTTCTTATTTTATCGTTATACGGGGTGATCCAATAATACGAGAAAATAAATGATGCATGGTTTTTAAAGGTACGTTTTCTTAAAATATTTTGTTATATACAGGGTGTCCTAAAAAAGTGATAATTCATTTTCGTGTGTTTGACAGGGTTTCTCGTTTATGAATAGCGGTAAAAAGGTACGGTTTTCACACTGCTGTCCTATATTTTTATGGAACTGAAAATGCTGCACACAGATTTGTGACTCTTAAGCTTCATTCAGAACCTTGCAAATAGTGGAATAAATTAGTGGTTTTAATTACACTTTATATTTTTTAGTTTACGATTATTCACAGTGTTTATAAAGAATAGAGAAAGCCTAATATTTACCTTATAAAACAATCGACCTTTGATTTCTATCCACAATAATTTCTCTTGACGGAAGATAACCAAAATGACATTTCTCGCAAATTTTGAAGTATAATTAGTGGAAAAGTTAAAAGTTTAAAATTTATTGAAAATGTCTACCACTAATTTCGACGTTCTGAATGCTTACGTTGAAATTAAAGGTACAAACTTCGACGATAATTGAAACCACTAATATATTCCACTAATTGCGAGATTCAGAATGAAGTTAGTTCCTGAGATACGTTACTTGTATCTTGTTTATCTTATAACTTATTAAAAAGGTGAGAAATGAATCCCAAAAAAATGTCCACGGAGAATCCAGTGGCATAATAAGTTTTTCGCTTGGAACTGTCACTCTTGAAATATGACCGAAACTTTTATATTTTTTTAAATAGGATATCCTGTATGTCTTTTTTTTATTTTATTTGCCTTGTTATGAGCTGTTGAAAAATATAATATACCTACTCTATACTATTTTCATTTTAGCACCTATCAGAATTTTTCAGCTGATTTAGGAAAATAAGTATAGAGTATATTATATTTTTGGGAAGCTCATAACAACACAAACAAAACATAGGAATAATATACTATTCTGGGTGTTCTATGTAAAAAATATAAGTTTGAATTATATTTCGAAAATGACAGCTCCCAGCAAAAAACTGGATACGTGAATGGATTTTACGTAGAAAACTTTATGGGACACAGAGTGTTCACGTTTTCGATCAGTTATAAGATAACCAAGATACAAAAGAGGTCGAAAATTGCAACATTTTCAAATTGGCCCTGTAATTCATAAACCAAGGGAAGTAGGACAATTCTGTGTGTGACATCTTTAGTTTAATAAAAAATTAGCACAATGATGTGAAAACAGCATCTTTTTATCTCTATTCGTAAATGAATAACCCCATAAAACACAGGAAAATAAGACACCCTGTACACAAAAAGTATAATTTTTACTCCCAATAAAACAATACAGGTACTATTAAAATTCGAGAAAATAATAATTTTGGGAAATTGATTTGTGTGTCTGAAAACGTTCTATCCTTCTTAATCTGTCTATAATTAGAGTTAATGTTTGACAAATTTTATGTCAATTTTTAGGAAATGACGTCTAGAGATTGACCTCGTCAAAATTATTATCGATTGTCATTCCCCAGTTCTTAATTTTAAATGCCATCTACACTATGTAGTTTGAAGCAGAGTTGAAAACAAGTGTTTTAAACATAATCCCAACTTTGTTGTTAAAACCGTGTTTAAAACAATGAAAACAATTTTAAACCATAAAACACAAGTTTTGTCTAAAATAAAAAGAACGTTTTCTTTTTTAACACCGGTTCCGAATCAAAATAAGATTTTTAAATATTTTTTCTTATTCGCCAATTTTCTGCTTAATATTTCTAGAGTCCAACACCACCACAATACGTTTTTTGGTACCACAATGACCGAATGATCAATTATGACACTGCTAGAGGTGGTATATCGGTGGAAACCGTTCCTGGACCAAGAACTCAGAGCAGGCTGACCATCCAGAACACTAATGATGCCGATTCTGGAAATTACACCTGCACAGCATCGAATACTGAGTCTGCTTTTATCTATGTATTTGTATCCGAAGGTAAATTTCAATACTTTGTAAAGTAGTCTTTTATAATGGGGTACCGTATTATCTACAAAAACGTCGTCACAGTTTTGATTCTGTGAATTAAAAGTGTGACTTTTTTCTTGTGAATTAAAATAACAGACACATCTGCCTCTGTCAGAAATCCTCCCAGTCAATGACTAAAGAATACAAGGACATGTAACCCCCATATACGGGCGGCAGCAGAATTTTTGTTGTTAGACGGCCATTTTTTTTTGGTTGTAACGAATGAGTCATCAGTTGGTCATCACCGACAATTTTAGCGATTTTTAATAGTTTGCGTGTAACTTTATTACAATGGTGATTAGTTGTTCAGCCTTTCAAGTGTAAAAGCCGCAGCGATAAGAAAGCGCTAGTAGTTACGTTTCATAGATAAATAAACAGTCCACTCCACCTTTTTAGCGTTTTCTTATTGAATTCTATAATTATTTTTCTGATAAATAAAAATTTAGAAAACATTTATCAATACGCTAAAAAAACATAATTTACAACTAAATCCAAAAAAATCTAAAGCTATAATTTTTTGCGCGAAGAGAAAAAGAGACACCTTAAAATCTAAAATAAAATATTCTATAAATAATGAGGACATCGTATTTGTTGATTCCGTCAAAAACTTAGGTGTTTATTTTGATGAAGATATAAAATTTTCAAATCATATTTTACAATTAACAAAGACGTGCTAGATGAACTTAAGATTACTCTATTCAAATAGACAACTATTATCCCACGAAATGAGAGTGAGACTCTGTCAACAGCAAGTTCTCTCCCGATTATTATATTGCATTTCTGTCTATTATCCGGGTGTGGACAGTATCGCTGCAAGGCGACTTCAAAAAATTCAAAATACCTGCTGTAGATTTGTGTATAACTTATGTAAATATGATCATGTATCAGCAGCTATTCAAAATCTTAAGTGGTTAAGGGTAGAAAACACTTTCAAATATATATTTTTATCGTCGCTCAAACGTGTTATAGAAACTTCATTGTCTCCCTATTTAAGACAATAATTAATTATTAGGCAAAACATACATAAATTGGATTTAAGCTATATCTCTGGATTTAAGAGATAATTTTTTTCTTACTATGTCTCTACATAGGACAGCCATGTTTCGAAACTGTTTCACCTATAATGCTGTCAACCTGTTTAACGCCTTGACCAAAGATTTAAAATCATATACAGGGTGGCGCACCTCATTCGCCTCGGTTGATTATACGAAAACGAAAAGATGTAGAGACGAAATATTATATGAGTATATGTGGGAAGGCAATGTGCACAATTTAAAATTATTTTGAAATGTATGGGGTGTTTCAGAACTAAGATCCATACCAAAGTTGTATTTTTTCTTATGGCACACCCTGTATTTTATTTCATTTTTGGATTCTTGGGCCTAAAAAAAGGTATTTATTATAAGGGTTAAATATGTTTAAAATCTTTGGTTTTTGAGATATTTAAAGATATTTGAAAATGCATGCTACAATAGAATAGATTATAAACACTCTGTACATTGCTTTTCAGAATTAATTCTTGTGCTGACTTGTAAGCCAGAGAAATAAACTTTACTAAAAAATTTGATTGCTTTATTTAATGTATATTAATGTAATATTAATTTTACATAAAAACTTCGTTATTTCAACTGTATTTTTTTAACACCCTGTATTTTTTTAAATAAATCGAAGCAGATTTAAATGCTCTTTCAAACTATATAAGGGTTTCCTATATCTATCTAGCTCAGATTTTGAATAAAGAGCCATTTTTCAATAAAATGGGAACCAAGATGGCTTATGTCAAGTTTCTAGTGACAGTAGCCATTTTCAAAATCGAAACTAGTTTATGGACTTTATTTAAATGTATAGCAGTTTACTTTTATTTAATTTACCTACAGTAGTTTAATAAATAATATTTATTAAATATGTATTTACTATTCTTTCAAGAAAAACGACGATACAGTTAGTTCTCTCATTTATTTTATGATCACTCGTAGATATATGGATTTTCTATAAAAGAGCCAATTACGGCAAATGCATTTTCTTTGCTTCCAATGACAGGTTTCTGCCGAATAGGCTTTTTATAAACCACACTACCATAGCTCTGCGAAATAGAAAAGTATTTTTTCAAGGAACGCTTATCAAAAAGATTCCTATTTGGATATCTTTGAGCATGGGCTCTTTAGGCGAAGAAACAATTTTCCTCACAAAATAAAATCACTAGTAACATATCCATTCGTTCCGCCAGCAAATACTGCTTTATTTTTCTTGATAAAATAATGAATAATGAAGTTTAATAAGTATTAAACTATTGTAGCTAAATTTAAGTAAACTGTTATAAATCTAAAATCTAAATAATAATGTCCACAAACTAATGTCGATTTTGAAAAGAGTTACTAGCTTTAACCAGAAAATTGCCATAGCGACATTAGCCATCCTGATTGCCTTTTTTTGGGCCCCAGAATCCAAAAATGAAATAAAATACCGGGTGTTCCATAAGAAAAAATATAACTTTGGTATGGATCTTAGTTCTGAAATACCCCGTACATTTCAAAATAATTTTAAATTGTGCACATTCCCTCCCCGCATATAACCATAAAATATTTTGTTTCTACATCTTTCGGTTTTCGTATAATCAACCGAGGCGAATGAGGTGCGCCACCCTGTATATTCATACACTCTAAAAAATTTAAAATACATTTAAAATCATATTTATTAGATATTCAAAAGGTTTAGGATTAGGTAATTTAATACTGTTATTGTGTAACTTATTTTTTTTTCTTTCTTTTGATTTATTATTTAATCATTATCTTTTCGTATAGATCATTAGATTATAATATTAGTGTTAGACTGTAAGCATTACTGTAATTTTTGGGTTAAGTGTGAGTGGCTTTTTTAGCCAGACTTCGCCCATTTATTTATTAAATAAGGCCATTATGATTATTATTATTATTATTATATATGTATTTAATATGTGCTATACGTCGATACTAGTTTTGTACCTTTTGTTAACATTTGAATACGTTTTTTTCGTAATTAATTAGTATGTTACCACTGCATACACCATAGGCATAGTCAAAACATTTATCAAATTGTAAATATCTCTTATAGAGCAGCTAAGTTAAGAAAAATATGTGACACGGCACTGTTTGGTGGCATGGTAACAATTTCGTCGCAAGTGTTATTTGTCCTTGTATTCTTTAGTCATTGCTCCCAGTGGACAAACTATAGGTTTAGTATAGTTCCAGACTCAAATTCATTTTCCAAAAAAACGTTGACTAGATTTGCGCGTCTGAAAAGTTTATACTTTTTTATTTAAATAATATTTTTTACATGTTTTTAAATAATAACTTTTAACATGTTCGATCCCTTTGATATTTACACAAAAATATATATTCCAGGTGACAACGTGGATGCTATATTAATGAGAAAATCAGGCGCCATTTGCCTCATCAGTCAGCTGTTCCTGTTGCTTTTTCCATTTTTGACACCTGTCATTCGATAGACGAAGACAGAAGACAGCCGAACACAGAAGACATGTCATTATTTGTAAAAAAAATATCGAGAAAAGAATAAAACTGACTGAAATGGACATCTGTCAACATGATGCGATAAGTGTATAGAACAAATGTACGAGCATCTGTGGTGAGAAGCGCTAAATCTGATTTTAAAAAATTAAAAATAAACTGTCCTGTATAAAAATGTACAATTTAAAGACTTGTAACGTTTACTAATAAAATAAATAAATTAGAGTTTTTTTTTTGATTCTTATAAAGTGGAAATATGTAAGAATCAAATAAAAAAGAATATTATATAGAGGAATTTAAAAAATCGATTTTTCGTTCTAAGAAAATAAAATCTTCTAGGTGTCTATTTTTCACGAAAAACCTATATGTTTATTAGCAAATACATCAAATATATCTTTTAATAAGTCTTGACTAAAATTAAGTAAAAATTAAAAAAAAAATAATAAATACATAAATCAACGCCAGATTTATTTATTTCAACATTTTTATTGAGATCAATTTTTTTAGTAACTTTGAATAAAGCTCTATAGAACTCTATAGAAAGATATATCATGTTGATGATATATTCGATGATATTTGCTTCACTCTGTATATTCTAACGTAACATCCGATTGTAAGAGAAGTATAAATTTAAATTATTAAGAAAATAACCAGAATCGAAATTCAGGAATTTTCTGTGGCAATATAATAGCTATTTATGTAACTAGTACCTAAAATGATGTTTTTTAGGACGAATCATTACTGTTTGCGGACGAGGCGTTAGCCGAGTCCGAAATAGTAGATGAGTCCTAAAAAACATAATTTAGGTACGTGGTTACATACACTATTTTTTGTCATACGCTTTTTACAGTTTTTAGAACGCATATTTGCAAATTTTCCATATTTGAAATTATAATGTTTGAAAAAGTTGGTTTATAAATTCATCTTAGTAACGAGTTTGTTTATTTCATCGCATTTTGACATGTCATTCGAAATTTGTCACAAAATCACACAAATTCATCAACAATTTTAAAATGTTCCAAAATCCCGAACATATTGCTAATAAGGCCAAAAGAAATCGTGTTGGATTTACTTTCTCTGTGAAGTCTCGTGCCATTTACCAGAAAGAATATGATGTTTTTAATGAATGGAAAGACAAAAATGGCGTATTCGTTGTAAAATGAAGATGTATTGCTAAATTATTTCCACGAAAAAGTAAGTACCTAGGTACCTATTTAAAAGAGGCTTTTAAATTAAAATATTCTTAAATTACAGTCACAAACATTCAAACCATCGTCAATTTGGTCGAAATATTCCATGCTGAGAGCAGTGTTAAGTGTTAAAGAAGATATTTATATTGACAAATTTCCAAAACTTATTGCTTTTTTGAAGAGGAATTCGGTTGGTTACGAGCCTAAAAGTCTAAGGGTTTTGTCCATAAAAGAGATCGGTGGATTTTTTGGCCACGGCTAGTGATGAAACTTATTTACTTACTAAGGTAAGTTTGCGATAATGATTTTTAAATATATAGATGGTTTCTTATTCCATTGTATTTGATTTTTAGGTAGCTCTTGTCATTGGCCTTTGTGGAGCATGTAGAAGAGAAGAATTGTACTCTCTACGAGTGCAAGACATCATAGAAAAAGACAACAGCTGCCTTTTAGTTACCCTTGCGGATACAAAAACTAATATCAAAAGAGTGTTTCCGGTGGTGAACGAAGGGAACGTTGTCAATCCAGTTGAGTTGTATAGAAAATATGCTTGTCTTAGGCCAAAAAATGTACCACATGATTATGTCTTCATCTCTTATCGTAAAGGAAAATGCACCGTGCAACGAGTCGGCATTCATTCATTTGGGAAGATGCCATCGATTGTAGCAGCATTTTTAAAGTTGTCGAACCCAAACGAATATACAGGTCATTGTTTCCGACGTAGTTCTGCTACTCTTGCTGCAGATGCAGATGTGGATTTTACATCGCTGAAACGCCTAGGAGGTTGGAGGTAAAAATTTTAATATTTTCCGATCTTGTTCTAAACAACAATAATTATTTAGGTCGTCCACAGTGGCCGAAGGTTACATAGAAGAATCTATTGAGAAAAAGAAGAAAGTTTGCAAACTGCTAATGGGGGAAAAGAAAATCGCGACCACTTCCACGGATGTATTACCAAGTACATCATCGTTCGCATTTACTCCACCTCATCAGAAAGTAAATTTACCTGCCAATGGAGGAGTCGTTTCGATTGCAGATGCAAGTTTTCAAAATGCACAAAATTGTTCATTTCATTTTTATTTTTCCAAATAACTTAGCTTTTGATATTGTTAGTATTTAATAATTTAAAAATCAAATACAATGGAATAAGAAACCATCTATATATTTTAAAAATCATTATCGCAAACTTACCTTAGTAAGTAAATAAGTTTCATCACTAGCCGTGGCCAAAAAATCACCGATCTCTTTTATGGACAAAACCTTAGACTTTTTAGGCTCGTAACCAACCGAATTCCTCTTCAAAAAAGCAATAAGTTTTGGAAATTTGTCAATATAATATCTTCTTTAACACTTAACACTGCTCTCAGCATGGAATATTTCTGACCAAATTGACGATGGTTTGAATGTTTGTGACTGTAATTTAAGAATATTTTAATTTAAAAGCCTCTTTTAAATAGGTACCTAGGTACTTACTTTTAAACAAATAACTTAGCTTTTTGATATTGTTAGTATTTAATAATTTAATTATAAATATATGTATAATTTTATGTGATTTTGTGACAAATTTCGAATGACAAAATAAAACAACCAAATAACGAATTTAGACATTTTAGTCCATAAAGGTTGCCATGACGACCTTTACGGCCTAGGCCGAAAAAGAAACATTTTACGGACTGAAATGAGTCCGTAAAATAGCTGTTTTTGGGAGCGTATGACAAAAACTAATTAATGTTTATTTAATAATAAATTAATTCATATGTATATGACATAGAGTTAATGTCAATTTCATCTCATAGAACAACGCAAGAACATTGTAAATAATACAACACTCTGTATGTTATTTCTAAATCTATCATCTATAATTTATTTTTTATGCTATATTTTTAATGTTATCCAAAATATAAACTCAGACCAAAATATGTTATAGATTTAAAAAGTCAAACATATTTAATTGTAAAAGCCCTTATTCTTCGAAATATTCAAAAATAAAATAAAGTGTACGATAGATAAAAACTTACATTCACCAAACAAAACTTTCTATTGTAAAATAATATGTTTAGATTTAAAGTAAATCATGAACAATTTACCATAATTGCATAGAATCACGAATACAATGTAATATACTCAGTTCTACAAACTATACGTAATTTTAAAATTAAATGAATGAAAGAGAATACTACATACGTTGGGTCTTAATAAGTTTTATGTGTTAAACCATTTGAAAAATATATCATCATATTTTACAACCTGTGTTTTTAATTTTACCCTCAAATTCTTAATTTACATTGTCAGCTTTAATTTGAAAAATTAAATTAATTTTTGAAATTTATTTCTGAATCAACTAATGACAAATAAATAATGGACCACACCTCGTATTATATTACGCCTAGCGTCATCAATGTAAAACTTAAGTTCACTATTTTTCTCATAGGCGGCAAATCAATATGGAGGATTATATTAAGGCAACTAAATATACAGTACTTTAACCAGGGCATTTAAAATTCTATTGACTTCAATATCAATCAAATCAATATGTAATATGCTAATATTTAAAAGGGTGATTATTAGACTTATTTTAAGAAAAATACTTCATATAAATGTATGTCCTGAACATCTGAACTTTTGAAATACAGGGTGGTAGTTTTTATTCATAATAAACTCTGATATTATTGTAGTTATCTTTATTAAATTTCATACATCGTCGGCTTTATGTCGAAAAGGCGTATCTCAATTTTTGCTGTTTTTCAGGAGAGCAATTTAAAGAAAGTCGCTTACTTTATTTGGCCAATAAATGTAAAGTCTTTAATTTTTTAATAGTGTTTTTGTATTAACACTTAAACGGAGACCCTGAGGAAACGTTCTGAAGATAAATTGAGCATAAATTGTAACAAATAATTTATTTTTAGTTGTTTAATAGAGATAAATTATTAGATTAATAGCCTTTTTGATATAATAATAATAAATTTATTTCCAAACGAATAGTATAGATACGCCCGTGTAAAATAAATTTAAAAATGATGGTAAAGTGTTCTTAAAAAGAAAAAAAAACAATATTCACATTATGGAATACATACAGGAAAATACAATACACACATGCAAGAAAACATCTGGAAATCACGAAATCTGGAAATCACAGAAACAAATATTTTCATTCGCGTTGGATTCTAACAATATAAAGATATCTAATACTTTTATTCGCGTTGGATTAGATCAACTGAAATTACTGAAAACAAAAACTATGTTCATTCCAGAAGTAAAGACAATAATAAATTAAAATACTCTTATCTGGTTTATTCTAATAATATTGTTTTTTATACAAAAATACATTTTTTTAACTAATATATTTTTCGTAATTATTTAGTTAATTGAGTTTAATGACAGGTTTATCACCAGTGCAAAGGGGTTGTAGATCTTGATATTTTCGTAATATTATAGGTTTTGGCCCTGAGTTTTCAATGCGATGTTGAAAAAATTAGCTAAAATTTTAAGGTTACTGTTCTATAACTTTCATGAATTACCCGTAACAGCTGGTTGGGCATAAATACTTCGCCTGTTTTTTTTTATTGCATTAGCAATATAATGGATTTAGTAAAATTGACCGAAAACAAAATTCACCGATGGAGAATTGCCCGAGAACAATTGATCGAAAAGAGCGTTAACCAAAAAGATATTTGCCCGGTAGAAAAATCATCGAATTACAATTAACAGAATCATCCGTACCTTTTTGATACAAATAACTGTGGAGTAAAGCTTGATTTTCATGCATCCGTTGTCCGACGATCCGATGATACGATATTAATTTTATTGGTTGAATTTAAAGGCTTCGATAGGTTAACCGTTTCTAACCAGTCTTTAAATTCAACCAATAAAATTAATATCGGACCATCGTATCAACGGATAACGGACGCATGAAAATCAAGCTTAACTGATAACAAATTCGACTTTCATTCTACGTGTTTATGCTGGATGATGATAGGCACAATAAATAAAATTTTCCAAAAATTGCCAGCAGGGATGACAATGACACGTCAATATTGTTGCGAGCCGGTGTGGACTCGTAAAAAAACGTAAAACGTAACAATATTTAGCATTTGGAAGCTCTGGAATTGAAGAAAAGCTCGATATGACAATGACAAAATGTCCTGACAATGATAATGAGATGAAAATTATTGTATTTTTCAGGCAACTTTTTGGTTCGCTAAAATCTTGTTAGGGAAATTATGATTTCGGTTAGGGCAATTTTCGTTTCGTTGTTTTGCTTTCGGTCAATTTTCCTTCGGCCATTTATTCTCGGTCAATTTTTTGGATACCCAAAACAGATATGTGCAGAGTCTAGCTCATTCAAACAATGGTTTTTGGCAAAAAAACAGACTCAAAATCACACTGTAAAAGAGAGCTGCTGCCATGATAGAACTTTTATTTTGTCCCAAGCAACCATCAGAAAATAATTAGGCAGAATGGTGTGATGTTCTCTCTCATGCATTTTCATAACTTAAAACAAAAGGACCAAGCTCAAATTCCACCTTTCTTGTAGTAACAATTGGTATAACAATTGATATAACAAAGAGGCCTATCTCAACATACGCCTTTTCGTCATAACGAAGAATTATTGTAGTATTTGAGATGGGGCAAATTTTTAAACGAATATAAAATGAAATAGGTACAATATTGAGATAGATGACGTTGATATCTCAAAATCGCCAAAAATCGAGATACGCCTTTTCGTCATGAAGCCGATCGAGAACATATTTTTTTAGTGTAGAAAAAAACTTTGTGTTGTATCTCTTAATTTCCATCCAGCCGATGCAAAAATCATTTCCACACAATACTCACAACAGTAACCGCATCACATTTTTAGCAATTTGACCCTCCAGTAAAATGACTTATTTTTTTAAGAAAAAATTATGCGTTAGATGAAAATAAATCAAGAGTAAGAAATTGGTTTAGGAATGAATGAAAATTTTGAAAATAATTTTTATTCACAGAGAAGTCGAATACTATTTGTTCCTTCAAAAATATTCAATGCAAAACCCGTATGGACGCCACTGGTTGAAATAAATAAAATTGTAGTTCAAAATTGGCATTTTGATGCATAAAAGATGTGTATTAAGGTTTATAAACGTATCTATAATAACATCGGAGATATGAAAAAGTTTTTTAGAAAATTTTACCACCTTGTATCTCAAAAGTTGAGACGTTTAGGAGACACATTCAAATAAAGATTTAGAATGGGTCCAGAAATCACCCCCTTGAATATTAGCATGTCATTAAGGAACACCCTGTATAATTGATATAATGTAAAAATAAAATAAAAATCTTAATACCAAGAGTTTATTTTAATTAATACACCAATAAATTATAAAACCTGATAACAAATAATAAATTAATACATACTAATCATTCTTTTAATGATTAATAATAAATATCTATGCAGCATCAGGTTGTTGATGTTGTTGATATGTTAAAGCCCAATAGTATCCTTTTAATTTTAGCAGTTGTTCGTGAGAACCCATCTAAAAATGATATGTGTAAAAATGCAGTATTGACTATTTTTTATATTACCTCAACTATTTTGCCATGATTCAAAACTAAAATTATATCTGCATTTCTTACTGTTGATAGCCTGTGAGCTATAACAATCACTGTTCTACCTTTCCTTGCTTCATCTAAGGCTGACTGAACAATTTTTTCTGATTCGCCATCAAGGGCGCTAACAAATCAAATAAAATAATTAATAAAAAATTACCTTTAAACTATTTATTACCTTGTAGCTTCATCTAAAAGTAAAATTCTTGGATTTTTCAGCAAAGCCCTAGCAATTGCTACTCTTTGTTTCTGACCTCCTGATAATGTAGCACCTCTTTCACCCACCAAAGTCTGATAACCTTTGGGGAAATTTGAGATAAACTCATGAGCATTAGCTTGCTGAGCTGCATATTTAACCTAAAGTTTATTAAAATAAAATAAATAAATATATAAATACACTAGAAAAAATATAATAACCTCTTCATCTGTTGCTTCAGGCCTACCATATCGAATATTTTCCAAAATTGTTGTACCAAACAGGATGGGTTCTTGACTAATCAGACCAAGAATGTTTTGTCTTAGCCATGTTGGATCAAGAGTTTTTATATCATGTCCATCTATGCATATTGAACCTCCATTTACATCATAAAATCTTACAATAATAAAATATGATTATTAAAAATATCTTGTCTTCTTAAAAATCAGTATGTTTGATCTTACCTCTCAAGTAAAGCTACTATAGTTGATTTACCGTTTCCTGAAGACCCTACAATAGCTATTGTTTTGCCCGAGGGTATAGAGAGATTAAAGTTCTTTAAAATAACCTACATCATAGAGATTATCACAAAATAAAATAGTATTATTTGGCAATTTTTAAACTTACTTGGCGTCTGCGTGTAGGATAAGCAAAAGTAACATTTTTAAATTCGATATCACCTTTAAGTAAGTTATCTGGAATGATTTTACCCCCGGTAAGGCTCATGGAAGGTTTCATATTAATATACTAGAATAAAAAATGTAACAAAAAATACAGCAATTTGGGTGAACTTTTTTTTTACTTGAAATCACTTATTAAAAAAAGTACAAAACATTCAGTATATAGAAGCCTCCTCAAACACAAAATCATAAAAATGTCTCTGTAGAAATGCATCATTTTCTTTTTTCCGACTTTAGAATAACTGAATTCAGTTACATGAAAACGTGTTCCCCTTTACATTCTAAACACTTTTCTAGTGTAGGTATGAACTTAACTTAGTAGATACTGTAATTTAAACATCAATACTGTACCGAGAAAAAAGCGAAAATAAACAAAAATGAACCAACAAACCAAACCAACCCCAACAAAAGCAATCAAAACACGCTATAAGCTAAAACGCGTCTGTTTACGAATTCCAATTGCCGAGTACTTTTCAAATCTTGCTATATTTTACAATATTTTATCAGTAAATGAAAATGCATTTCCGCAAGAATTTTGTTTGCATGTCTATGTTTAGAAAATTTTCAATAATTAAAAACAGAAACGTGTTTTCATGTAACTGGTTTCAGCTATTCTAGAGTTGAAAAACTGAAAATTATGCATTTCCGCAGAAAAATGTTTGTAACTTTCTATTTGGAAAGGCCTTCCAAGTACTAAATAAACAAATATTTCTTACATGACTGATTTCAGCTAAACTAAAGTAGCCCTGATTTCAACAATTCTAAAGTTGAAAAACTGAAAATGATGCATTTCCGCAAAAAAATGTTTGTGACATAATGTTCAAAAAAGCTTCCAAATGCTAAATAAACAAATATTTCTTATACAGGGTGACGCACCTCATTCGCCTCGGTTGATTATACAAAAACGGAAATATGATGTGGAGAGACAATGTGCACAATTTAAAATTATTTTGAAATATACAGAGTGTTTCAGAACTAAGATCCATACAAAGTTATATGTTTTCTTATGGAACACCCGGTATTTTACTTCAATTTTCGATCCTTGGGCCCAAAAAAAGGTATTTATTATAAGGGTTAAATATGTTTAAAATCTTTGGTTTTTGAGATATTTAAAGATATTTAAATATGCATGCCACAATAGAATAGATTATCAACACCCTGTATTACTTTCCAGAATTAATTCTTGTGCTGAATTTAAAGACAGAGAAAAAAACTTTACTAAAAAATGTTATTGCTTCCTTAAATTTATACAGGCGTACCAAAAATTGCTGATCTATTTTAAATACTTATTTACATAAAAACTTCGTTATTTCAAATGCAACACCCTGTGTTTTTAAAATAAATCGAAGCAGTTAATCACTAAAAGCTAATCACTAGAAACTTACCATGACATCAGCCCTCTTGGTTGCCATTTTATTGAAAAAATGCTCTTTATTCAAAAAATCTGAGCTAGATTAGGAAGGTATAGGAAACCCTAATATAGTTTGAAAGAGCATTTGAATTTGTTTCGATTTATTTTAAAAAATACAGGGTGTTGTATTTGAAATAACGAAGTTTTTATGTAAAATATATATCTAAAATAGACTAGCAATTTTTCATATCCCTGTATACATTAAACGAAGAAATCAAATTTTTCAGTGAAGTTTATTTCTCTGTCTTAAAAATCAGCACAAGAATTAATCCTGAAAAGGAATGTGCAGGGTGTGACAATTCCTTTTTAATATAGCATGCATAATTCAAATATCTTTAAATATTTCATAACCAAAGCTTGTAACCATACCTAACCCTTATAATAAATGCCTTATTTTGTGCCCAAAGCTCCAAATATAAAATAAAATACCGGAGTTCCATAAGAAAAATATAACTTTAGTGTGGATCTTAGTTCTGTCATACCCTGTACATCTCAAAATAATTTTTGTAAATTATGCAAATTACCTTCCCACATATACCCATAAAATATTTTGTTTCTAGATCTTTTCATTTATGTATAATCAACTGAGGCGAATGAGGTGCGCCACCCATATAACTAATTTCAGCTATACGAAAGTTGCCCTGATTTCAGCTATTCTAAAGTTGAAAAACTCAAAAAGGATGCATTTCCGCAGGAAAAAATGTATGACATATTCGAAAAGGCTTCAAAATACTAAATAAACAAATGTTTCTTACATAACTGATTTCAAGTAATCAAAAGTAGAGCCAGCAATTTTAGCGTTATTACCTCAAAAACTCTTGCCCCTGCTGCTAACCCTTTGATAACACCCCCAAATAATAAAGATATTTGTGCCAAAGACCTTTGAATTGTCTGGGCAGCCATAAGAAATGACATAACATCACCTGCTGAAAGTCTATTAGTAGAGAGCATGTATCCTCCCAAATACAATGTCATTAATACTGTTCTAATAAAAATTAAAACTTTGTTTTAAAAAAAAACATATTTTAAACCACTCATAGCTCACCCATTTATAAAAAGATTTGTTCCAGCTTGAAACAACCCTATACCAAATCCCAGTGCTTCATTTAACACCATTGCCTCCTCAGCTTCTTTTATATATAAAGCAGCTTCCTGCTCCTCCATTGCAAACGATCTTACTGTTCTGATATTGCTAACAGCCTCATCAGCTACAGCAGTAGTTTTTTCAACCTTATAAAACAGAAATTACTAGAATTTTGAAGAAATTGTTGTTTATTTTACCTGTGCCTGGGCTTTTCTTGATATCACTCTTAAAAGAGAGCCAAATAATGTCCCAATTCCAATCACAGATGGAATGCAAAGCAGAGTAACCAAAGTCATATTTGGTGAAATCATTACAAGAGACACTGAACAACCAACTATTTGAGTTATAGCTCTGAGTCCACCAGAAATAGTTTGCTTAAAGCTGCTTTTAAAATCTTGTACGTCTGATGTAAGCCTAAGTTCATTATTATTTTTATCATTAGCTTGAGTAATGCAAAGATAGTTTACCTATTTATAATCTCACCAGTTCTCTGAGCATCAAAAAAAGCAATGTCCTGCTGTAAAACTGACTTAAATAAGTCTGCCTTCATGTGATAAGCAACTTTTTCACCCAGATTTGATAACATAAAAATATAAAAGAATGTGAAAACACTCTGAAATTTGACAAAAATACATAAAATATCAAGTTTAAAATTGAGAAATCACCTGTCCTATATACATTCCAATCAATTTAAATGTAGGTATACTCATCTCACTTATAAAGGGTTTTGAATTGGTTTCCCTAGCATATCTAGCTAAAACATTTATCACACCACCCATCACAAGGGGAATTTGAATATTTAATACTGCTACAATCAAGGCGCCCTAAAAATTACAAAATATATATAAGGAATATTAAAAAGTAAGTTCTACATACTGCTATAGCTGCAATTAAGTACCAAATATGAGGTTTAATATATTGCCAAAACCTTGCCCAGTCAAACTGGGCATTTTTATCACTTGTTACCCTGTAACCAGCCAATCTCGATCTCTTCGCTTCACAAAAAGCTAATTTTTTGTCATAGCAAACCTTGATCAAACCTCCTGCGGTCAAAAATATTGTTACTTTTGGTAGTAAAGAATTTGTTTTATTTTGAAATACCGGTTTACAACTTTTAACAGCATTTTGTTGAAAGCTTCGAAACTTATTTAAGCTAATTTTAAATCTACTCGCTGACAATTTGTTTCTAAAATGATATAACAAAAATTACATGCAAATAATTAATATGCATATATCATTACACAACTTACTTAAAAACAGAATTTTTAGTACAAGGTTGAATGACTAGTTTCCATAACATATTAGTAATAATAATCTCCTTTAGGTATTTTCAAATAATATTTTAAATAATATACATTTAAGCTTAAAAAGAAAATAAATAAAATATATAATTGAATATTATTATAAGCATAAGCCCAGCATTGAGGTTATGTAAAACGTCAGATCAGATTTTCTTTTAAAAAATTTGTCTGTTGTATTATAAGTTGCCTATATATTAACACATATAACCAATAACGCATGTTATCTGTGATAATTTTAATAATAAATTTCTTCTCCTTTTTCCAATAAATATAATTATTATGATGATAAATACACAAGAAATATTCTCTTTCAGCGAGAAAAAATACAATAACAAACATAATTATAGAAAAGTAAATAGGAAAATATCATAGAGTTAAACATTAAAAGAAAATATAAATATGATAATATCCTATAATATTAAAGGTTGTGAAAAATACTATGAAATTAAAATAACTAGTTGCTTAATCAAGCTAAGGACTTAGTCTGAGATCAGGCTAAAATTAGATAATATATATTAATACTCTATCAAATTTATCAAAACTATCAAAACTTTATTCATTCTTTCATTCTAAGAAAATTATATAACTGGTTGAATAACGGGTTGCCTAATAACTTCTGAATAATTTAAGATACCTGGGTTCTTTCAAAAGTGAATATATGTATTTTTTATATTTAACTTCTATTGCAGAATTGTAAAATTTTTATATTGAAATAAGACAAGATGAGAAAATATTAGTACTTATCTATGACTTAAAATTGTTATATTTTTTGTAATTTCTTATAATTGCTAACTAATACAAAATAATAAAACTGAATTTTTTTGAAATCCAACGAAAAGGCTCTACTAAAAATAACAAGTTTGGAGACATATATTGCAGTAAAAGGTAGATTTTTTCAGGAGAAATACTAGGAACATGATATTATTTTAAAATAAATGAGTGAGCGGTAAACGAAGCCAACTTACAGAAATGCGAAAAATATGTTCAGCGCAAGCGTTCGCTCCATCAAATAAGGGTCTTTTAGGATATAATTTCGCAACATTGGTCTTCTTGCATTCGTGTTAGATAAACGAGAGTTAACAAAAATTTCGTAAATTAAAATTAAGACGCGAAAAAATTCGCCATTGCGATCAAAATTGTGTTTGGCAATGTGATTTGTTTATTTTTATTGATATTAAAAAATTCCTGTAAGTCAATATTTATTTACTTATTTATATTTAGTTATTTTTGTTCTTGTAAAGAAAATATACTATATACTATATACTAGAAAACCTTAGATAGTTTTAAGTTCAATCAGTTAATATATTATGTTAAAATTAAATGATAATATTTATTTTAACCAGTAAATATTTGCTGTAAAAATAAAGTATATTGTTGTCCTTTTTTTACTATTTAAGATCAATTATGAGTAATTAATACAATATGATCGAAAAAAACGAAGTTAGCGATGTCTATGAAATGAAGATCGCTGTTATTTCATTTGTAAAAAGTTGTATGTAAAATTGGAGAATAACATTGGTCATAATTTCCAAACCCACTAGATACCGTTTTTTTTTCGAACATACGGTGTATTATTAAGAAAAGCTTTATATAAAAATATATTTATTATAAATTAAGACAAAAATACAAACAAATAAATGAATTTTCAAAAAAATAATATACCCCTTAGATTATACAGGGTGAGTCTTAAATAAGTGCAAATATTTTCAGGGCTGGTAGATCTCGATAAAAGAAACATATTTTCACTTTACCTTTTTCAAATAAGTCCAAAATAACCGAGTTATTTTACGTTGAAAATTTCCAAAAAAATAATTTTTTGCTTAAATTTTGAAAACCACTGGATTTTCTTTTTGTAAATTTATTCGACTACCCATGTTGCCATATTATGAATAATTTTTTTAACCAAAAACTAAAACAATTTCCTAAATTTTTTTAAAAAAATTTCAAATTTTTAACATTTTTTTCGCAAAAAAAACTAATAGACCTCTATAATCTAAGGAATATATTATTTTAAGACTCACCCTATATACTGAGGGTGAGTCTTAAGTAAGTACAAATACTTTTAGGCAGGGGAGGATACAGGAATTTATTTTAGGGGCTCCAAATAAAAAATAATATAGAATATGCTTTTTAGAGCGCCATTTTTAACCCAAAAGCTTAATATTTAACCCGAGTTATAGATTTTATGGGGGAGCCCCTCTGTATCCGCCACTGTTTTTAAGCGTAGTATATCTCACCCCAGAAACACGTCTTTGAGTTTTCTTTTTCGCGAAAAAAAAATTGAAAATTTTCAATTTTTTTAAACAAATTTTAGAAATTTTTGAATTTTGAAAGTTCAAAACATAATTTCTTGATAATATGGCGAAGAAAAGTTCCAGTGGTTCTCAAAATTTAAGCAAAAAATACATTTTTTAAGAATTTTCATAGTAAATTAAATGACTCCGCTATTTTTGGACTTTGAAAAACAGGAAACAGAAAATATGTTTCTTTTATCGAGATCTCCAGCACTGAAAATATCTGGACTTATTTAAGGCTCACTCTGTATATATGTAACACCCAACTATTTTATTATTCATGTACTATGTTTGTTTAGTGTACTGAAACGAAAAAATAAAGCGTAGCAAATATTTTTCGGACAAATAAACCATTCATTATTACACTTCATAAATTCAGGCAAAAAATAAAGAATTAACGAAAATTGCCTAAAGATTGATCTAATGAAATTTCCTGAGTCTCACACTGCGTGTGCGGAAAAATTATCTACACAGACCCATTCTACCTATTAAAGAAGGAAATATGAAATATGAAATGTTATTGTTATTCCGCTTTATCATCTAGCAAATTGGTTGTCTCAAAGTCGTAACATGATCTTGGCGTCATCCTTCAATGTCCATATGTTAAATAGGACCTTTATAAATGTATATAATGGATATCGAAGGTTTGTATACCGGGTGCGTCTCGAAAGTGGCTCACCAGTATAATTTTCTTTTATTTTTTCAGATAAAAAATACGAGATTGGGTAGGATTATTAAGTAAGATTGATTGACGTTTGCAATAATTGTTTTTGGTCACTTCTTGTTTCACCAGAAACGACTACAGCTTTTGATTTTTAAATGGCACCCACGATATATTTTTACTTTATTCGATAGAAAATGACACTCTGAGTAGAGTGACATATCATATGTCAAATTTTGACATTTTCGCTCAAAACAAGTCGTATTTTAAATTTCAATCTACAGTGCCATTGTTGTGTTAAAAATACTAATTTTTTAACAACGAGCCTTGGAAAAATAGATTCCCAAGATTCCCAAATCCTATTTTTAATCATATCTCAATTTTTTCAAATGGAACTGGAGTGGCTTATTAGCATATTTTAAAAAAGCTATTTTTTACGAATAACCTGGTACCACACACTTAGTATTTTCTGTGGTATTTCGACATTAACTAACATTAACCGTTTCTTAGCTTTTAACACTAACCGTTTTTGAGAAAAAAATATTTAAAATTTTTGGACGAATAAAACTGCCTGTCAAATAAAATTGTATAGCCTAAAAGCTATGCCTAAAAGTCAAACTTAGTGATTACCACAGCCACTGTGCCATAAAGAGAAGACATGTGGCTATCTATTTCAAAAATTAAATTGTTCAAATGTCATACAATAATGGTGGTAGCTGTTATGGAACTGAGCGATTAAAAAATTATCATAAATCATTTTTTTCCACTTTTTTTTATTTCACTAGTGAAAAGGTTTTTCAATTCGTTACTTTTTGACGATACATGTTCCTATGCCTAAAATAAATTGTATTTAAGTTATTTAAGATTTAGTTTTAATGATATGATCGTTATTATAATATTCGATATTAACCACATGTTTTTTTCTTTATGGCACAATGGCTGTGGTAATCACTAAATTTGACTATTAGGCTAAACACATATTTTTGACAAGCAGTTTTTTTGGTCCAAATTTTTTTTTCTCAAAAACGGTCAGTGTTAGTTATAGAGTGTTTAATATCAAAATGAATAAAATTTTACAGGGAATTTAAGTGTAATAAAAATTGGGAGTGCCCATTTAAAATAAGAAAGTTGCTGTCAACTTCCGGTATTTCCGGAAGTGCCGCCATATTGAAAATATTCTTAATCGATAGATCTCATTGTAAAACAATGATGTGCAAAAAATCTACGATCTAGATATTGTGGTTCTCTAGAAATTTATACTGCACGATCAGCCTGGGACACCCTGTATACCGCGGGTGTCATTTAAAAATTAAAAGTTGTAGTCATTTTCGGTGAAACAGGAAGTGGCCAAAAACAACTGAATATGCCAATTCTCGTTTTTTCATCTGAAAAAATAAAAAAGTTATAGGGGTTAGCTTTTGAGACGCACCCGGTATATTTATGATAAAAAATATAAAATACATAATATTTTCTTGGAGTGGTTTGTTATGTTCTTTAACTAAGACTGTTTGATTTTTAAATATTTTTTATCCAATACTTGCAGTAGCATTACTTTTAAAAATAACCACACCCATACAGGGTGTAAACAAGTAAATGCGAAAAATTTAGGTAATGATTGCACTTTTAAAATTATAGAGCTCTTTCTATTATAGCATTTTTATAATCAGCGTGTCTGCAGAAAATTAATAAAAATATTGCATAACCTATATCTAAAAGTAAGTTTATATAAAAAATATCTATATCTGTGGTTTTAGTTTTAATATGTGTGTTTATCTGAAATTGAATGAATCAAAAGTATGCGATGTGGATTTCAAGGAAAAGTTAGGGAGAGATTGAAAAAAATCCAAACATACACAACACAAATAAATTATTTACAAATCCGTCTTGAGACGTACAAGGGTCACTGATAAATTCTGATAATTTTCGATACAAACACTACTCTAAGCGCTGACCACATATCTGAGATGTGTGTGAGAACAGTGTTGTTTTTAAATGCGCCAGTGCATTTCGGAAAATATCTAATACGGCCCTTGTAGCTCTTTTATTTCTTCCAATCAAATCAGTTAAACAAGTGAATTATAAGTTAAACAAATATATATCTTCATGGGTCTGCTTGTATTCACTGTCTAGACAATATAATAAATTCATCTGCTTACTAGGTCAAGATCACAAGGTAGGAAAACTCATTTTAACTATTTAATTTTAAACAAAAATGTACCATTTCTCCAGCCAAATAATAAAAAATGTCTTTGAACCAAATGCAAGATAAGTTTTCTTCCTTAATTACTTTGTTTGTATCAGAATTCGGCTAAGCTTTTATCATCGAATTTTGTGTTAAATATAATTGGTTTATTTTTATATGGAATTGATTCTGATAAATATTGTAGGCGTTTTTAGAGGATGCTTAGAGATATTTTTTAATGAGCATATTAAATAGATCTTTATAATATTAAAACTGCGTACTTATTCTGAAGAACTAAAACTAAAAAAATTAACAGCATATATGAAATAACAAAACAGAATAAAATATGATAATAAATTTGTTTATATTATTTCAATGAACTTTAAAAGTTTTTTTCTAAAAATATTTGAATCAGAGTTTTACAAATATATGTCAAATTATTTTCCGATTAATTCTTCATTTTTTATCATATATAAAAATATTGTTTTAATCTTTAGATAAACTTTTTTGATTAAAATGAAAGACGTTCATGATTCCCCATCCGCTGGGCTGACTGTGGAAGATCACAGGTACCTTCTGGATTGGACTCCAGAAACTAACGCAGAGAACTTACCAATATACATGCGATTCAACGATGGACATAAGCTCTCTATCACGGTTTACAGTATTCTGATGGTGTTCTCCGCTATAGCAAACATTACAGTGTTGGTAGCTTTGATCAAAAGACGCAGGACCAACCCTGCACGGATTAACGTTATGCTTATGCATTTGGCAATTGCTGACTTGTTGGTAAGTATGCGAGAGTACAAAACAAAACTTAGAAATTTTAATATTTGGCCTTATTAGTGATGAGCAAGACTGGTCTTGGTCTTGCTTTTTGTGCCAGACCTAGACCAAGACCGACTAGTGCAAGACTTTTTCAGCACTAAGACCAAGTATGCAAGACTTTTGCGGTCTTTGCTCTTGCTTTTGCATTATTTTTAAGCTTATATGATATAAGAAATGATTTATTGGTTCAAAATTATTGTTTTAATTTATTACAAATACAATTTTTACGACAATAGCATACAATTTTAAAGAGAGAAATGCTGATTCAATATAATATATTGAAAACTAAAAATTTTTATCAGACATACATTATTATAATTTCTTTCTTTTTTAAAGTTTATTTTAAGTTTTATTAGCATTAAATTACCAAAAATAATTTAAAACACATGATAAGACACTTATTCTAATATACAGGGTCCGGCAATAGTGCGTCGGGCGTCTGTAGCTCCTAGAATGAAAAGCTTAAGAATTTTGTTTAAGTGCAAATCTAAAGTATGTTCTAGGATGTATTCCAGGAAAATATTTTAACTTCTATACGGTGGCTCAAAAAAGTGTGAGTGGATCGGGATGAATTTTTTTAATTAATATAAATAACAACCTGTCTATTATTGCATTTTTGTTTTTTTTTTCAGATCACTTGTTTCAGAGATATTAATATATAAATAAAAAATATATTTTTTTCAGCCTTTCTTAAAAAAATTATTAAAAGTACAAGAACTGTCTTGAAATCAAAACTATATTAGATATTTACTTTAGACGATGTGTACTTACTTTGCTATAAATGTGGTAATCGTATATCATACAGGATGTTCAAAATTTTACGCCAAACTTTCTGAAATTCAAAATAATTTTTCTTGGTTTTTTTAAATGGAACACCTTGTATATTATTTTTTCAGTAGATGGAAAATTAAAAAATGAACATATTTTGTATTTTAGAGTATTTCCAAAAATTTATCGGTTTCGCAGATATTCGCGGTTTTATGTTTCATATGGCATTTTCCATAGTAAATTTTTATCAAAGCCACCCAATGATTTTTCTCTCGTATTTTACCGTTGAGAGAGCCATATTAAATAATAATACTACGTGTATCTGCGAAACCATTAAAAATTTTGAAATACTTTAAATACAAAAAATGTTAATTTTTTAATTCTCCATCTAATAAAAAATAATATACAGGGTGTTCCATTTAAAAAAAAAACGAAGAAAAATGATTTTGTATTTTAGAAAGTTTGGCGTAAAATTTTGATCATCCTGTATGATATACGATTACCATATTTATACCAAAGTAATTACAGACCATCTAGAATAAATATCTAATATAGTTTTGATTTCAGGACAGTTCTTGTGGCTGAAAAATATATATTTTTTATTTATTTATTAATATCTCTGAAAATATCGAAATATATTTATTCATATCTTAGGATTATGTAAAGTGGTCTGAAAGGAAGCCAAAAATGCAATAATATACAGGGTGTTCCATTTACAAAAACCATCCCTATCCAATCACACTTTTTTGAGCCACTCTATAGAAGTTAAAATATTTTCCTAAAATACATCTTTGTACTTACTTTAGGGTTACATTTAAACAAAATTCTCAAGTTTTTTATTCTAGGAGCTACAGATGCCCGACGTACTATTGCCGCAACCTGTATAACAGCCTAAGTACAATCGCAATGACTAAATTAAAAACAACACTAAAATATGCTTTGGATTGTCTAATTCTTTCGCTATTTATTCGACTACTAACTTATTTTAAAAACTGTCTATTTAAAACTGACTGAACACTTGAATACCCTAGCGGATCTTCCAGTATATTCCTTTCCCGAATTCTTTTTGCTTCTAGTAATTTCCATAATTACGTCCACAGCGTCCAACAGATGGCACGCAATATATCACTATATCGATATATCGATATCAGTATATCGCAGAATATCACTTTAACGGTCGTTTGCACCCCCAAAGATGTCGCCACGCTCATCGACAATACTACCTAGTTCTACTATCTTTAATTATTTTTTTAGTAGAAATCTATTGAAAAATGCAAGACTGCGCAAGACCAAGACTAGGCTCTGAAAAAGCCAAAACCTAGACTACTTATTAACTGCAAGACCAAGACAAAGTCTTGCATTTGCTCACCGCTAGGTCATATAAGAACCAAGATCAAAGTTAGAAACTTTCCCTCGTAATTTTCTTTTAAAACAAAACAAATCAAATAATCAAAAAAATCGTGTTTTTTAACTTCCAGAATAATATTATTAAATTTCTGTTAATAAATATTGAAAATATTAAAATATTTTTCTAGGTGACACTTCTGATGATGCCCTTAGAAATTGGTTGGGCCTACACAGTTCAATGGCTAGCTGGCAACTTTATGTGTAAGATAATGATGTTTTTTCGAATTTTTGGGTTATATCTGTCAGGTTTTATATTGTGCTGCATTAGCATTGACAGGTAAAATTAGAAAATAAATATATTTTTATCATATAAAATAAATTCTTTTATTAGTTTGTGGTTTTAGAAGAATTTTCAGTTTAAACATATTTTACTTTATTTTCTATTGTCTATTTTAGTTTTATTTGAGAAATTGAAAAAAAATCGTCAGTTTACATATTCCTGACAATTACTGTTACATCTCAATTGTCAATTTTAATTGCTATGGGGCATGTGTGTGTGTGGATATTCAAAGTAATACTATTATTTTATAAATCAGTATCCTTGGAACTACGGTATAACTGAAAATAACGATTTAACGCTTTGTGAAAACAAAGAAAGAAGAAAACGATAAAGTCTAAATTAATTAAATTTCTGTTTCTGGAAGTTCAAAATGTAATTCTACATTTTTCACGTCAAACTTTGCTTTGCAAAGGTTAATTTTAAAGGATTTTACCGAAGCTGTAACGGTAGCATCGAATTTCTTTAAAATTGCTTTTATTATATTTGTTTTTATGAAAAAAATAACTGAAACTGCTACTTTTTTGTTTTTATTAAAATCATTACAACAGAGATCATATATACTAATGGGAGAATAATAAATATATTGTCTTTAGTTTCTGTAAAATAAAAAAAAACAAAAATATGTTAGACATACAATAAAAAATCGTTTAATATTAAGTTATAGGCTTGGTGCATTCTCCGCCGGTGCTGCCACCATCGGAGAATATCGTAAACAACGGGGATATACAAATACACGGATTTAAATAGCGAGTATACGAAAAATTTATTATAAAATTATTCTAAAAATGTTACGAAGTATAATTTGTAAAAATTCTAAAAATGAAAATAGAAAAGTAAATAATTTGATATCTTCAGACGGTCTAACGTGTGTCATAATTTATTATTCAAGCTAATAAAACTTTTTAGATAAGTTTAACTACGGTAGCTAGCATAGTTTTATGGTAAACTAATAGGATTGCTCATCCTCATAAGACGTACGTTCGCCTCTTCCCGCGCTTCAGCTGACAGTTGTGATGTCATTGTAGTCCTTGTCAAAGCCTTGTCATGATAGTGTGTATTATTAGTTGCCTATGGTAAAATTATAAAAATAACAGCTGAGAAATTTTGAGTTAATTATTTTGTCAATTTTAAATGTGAAAAAGGTGTCTTTAAAGTTTTTAGAGCTATAGCTATAGCTATAAATACGTTCATTTTGTGTTGTGGATTGTAACAAAGTGCTTACTAAGTGCCCACGATTTTGTTTATTAATTATTTTAAAGCAAAATATGGAAGTACTCTAAAAAGAATGCTTGCAAAAGGTGATGTTGGGAACTGCTGTTCTTAAAAATGCATTATCCGAGTATTTAATACGATTTATACAGTTACTTTTCTATACTGCATACCTATAAGGTGTTTAAATAAATAAACTAAATAATGAACGTTTTGCATTCGGCAACCAATAATGCACGTGTGTGTATTATTGGTTGCCGGATAAGGACTAATAACCATGACAAGGACTACAATGACGTCACAAAGCGAGTAGTTTTCGCATGCACCTGGCGGACACTTTTGGCTGAATGAGCAGTCCTATTAGGTTAACTGTTCTTGGATTTTGCTAGTGGAGACATAACTGGGCTATTTGAGTTGTAAAGGATTTCTTTAAAGTATAATTATAATTTTAGAAGATGCTCATAAAGCATTTAATCACCAGTTGATTAAAAAAAGTATACCGTTAATATTGCAAAGTATATTTTTATCCTCTCATAGTCTATTGTATGTCTATTTAATTTTTTGATTATGTAACGAGCACTTTGTTTACACACTTGTTTCGTTGAACTGCTTGAATCCATTTTTACTTTTGATCAATCGGTGTAAGAAACTATGAAGCTATAAAATGTTGTTTTGGGAGAGTTGCATATCCGAGAAAGTCGAGTTATTGGATGTTATTGCATTCAGCAACCACGTAATTACGCTCTCCTTTATATGTTAACATTTTTTCGACAATAACATTTGAAATTGTCACAACACAAAGCGACGAGCGACGCCCAGTTCGAGTTCTTTTTCACTTAATGTTTTCTACCCGAAACAGCGTTACATAGCACAAACCTCGTAGCTGAGTGTTTTATAGTTTCAATAACTGCGCTATTAAAAACTAAAATACTTAAATATTATGACAAAGCCAAGATTTTAATATTATTTCAATGCCATCAACATCAGAACTGCGTTCAGAGCGAAAACTTCTGATTTCTGCTGTATCAAGCGATGCAGTCGGAATTTTTAAAATCAACTGAAATTCACCAAACCTCTAGTGACAATTTGTCACATTCTTTTTGATGACAACAATTTTATGCAATTTACATGCATCTGTCTTGCATCATCCGTCGTAGATTTTATGCAGTTTCATTGGTTTATTTCAAAAAAAAAATCAGCTCATATTTAATTATGATTAGAGTGACGGAACGATCAACAACGCACGACGGATACATACAGGGTGTCCCAGGCTGAGTGTGCATTAGAAGTTTCTGGAGAACTACAACATCTAGCTCGGAGATTTTTTGCACATCATTGTTTCACAACGGGATCTATCGATTAAAAATATTTTCAATATGGCAGCACTTCCGGAAATACCGGAAGTTGGCAGCAACTTTCTTATGTTAAATGGGTGCCCCCAATTTTTATTACATACTTAAATTCTCTATAAAATTTTATGAATTTTGATATTAAACACTCTATACCTAACGTAAACCGTTTTTGAAAAAAAAAATATTTATAATTTTTGGACGCAAAAAACTGCCTGTCAAAAATATGTGTATAGCCTGAACGTCAAATTTAGTGATTACCACAGCCACTGTGCCATTAAGAGAAAACATGTGGCTATCTATTTCAAAAATTAAATTGATCAAATGTCATATAATAATGGCCGCAGCTGTCATAGAATCGAGCGATTTAAAAATTATCATAAGTCATTTTTTTCAAATGCACCCCAAAAAACCCCTCTTTTTTTATTTCACTAGTGAAAACGCTTTTCAATTCGTTACTTTTTGACTATACATGTTCCTATACGTTAAATAAATCGTTTTTAAGTTATTTAAGATTTAGTTTTAAAGCGTATTTTCCTTGATTTTAACCAAGTCAAGTGATGTAAAACAATAGATCTGGCTATTTCATATTGTGACGCTTTGTTCAAAAAGCAGCATCATTTGCGAGCAACTTTTTTTTCGATCGTACGAAATATTAATAATATCAACTATTAGATATCACTAAAGACAAAGCTAAAGAGCGAAAATTTAGATTTAATTTAGAGCGATATATTTGTATATATACACTTTTTAAACTCTTAAGACAGGCAGTATTTATAATATAGGAAAGTCAAATAATTCGTTTGCTGACAGATGGAAATAAATTTTCTGAGCGTTTGACACTTAATGTCAAAGGAAGCTAGATAAAATCAAGAAAAATATACGTTTTCAAATTAAATCTTAAATAACTTAAAAACGATCTATTTTAGGTATAGGAACATGTATAGCTAGAAAGTAACGAATTGAAAAACCTTTTCATTAGTGAAAAAAAAAAGTTGGTTTCCATTTGAATAAAATGATTTATGATAATTTTTTCTGCTCAATTCCATGACAGCTACCGCCATTATTATATGACATTTGAACAATTTAATTTTTGAAATAGATAGCCACATGTCTTCACTTTATGTAATAGTGGCTGTGTTAATCACTAAGTTTGACTTTTAGGCTACACATTTTTTTTTGACAGGTAATTTTTTTCATCCAAAAATTTTAAATATTTTTTTCTCATAAACGGTTAATGGTAGGTATAGAGTGTTTAACATCAGTATTCATAGAATTTTACAGAGAATTTAAGTATGTAATAAAAAATGGGAGCACCCGTTTAAAATAAGAAGGTTGCTGTCAACTTCCGGTATTTCTGGAAATGCCGCCATATTGAAAACATTTTTAATCGATAGATCTCATTGTAAAACGATGATGTGCAAAAAATCTCCGATTTAGATATTGTGGTTCTCTAGAAATTTCCAATGCACGCTCAGCCTGGAACACCCTGTATAAGCTCACTTTGATAACGTATGATCGGAAAAAAACGGTGTCCAGTTGGCTAGAAAATGACAATCGATGAAATTTACCATATAAATTTACTTATAAAATGACAACGATCTTCATTTCATAGCAATCGCCGATGCCGTTTCTTTTTTGGATTATATTGTATTAGTTACTATACATTTTTAATCACATTAAATATAAGTGTTAGCAATCGATCATGTTTATTTCATCAGAAAATTATTACTTATCCAATTATTAGGCGCGGGGTGGGGGGGCGATGGAGGCACAGTAATAACTTCATTTATACATATAACGATATAAAAATAAATATCTAAACATATAGTTTTTGTAAATCTTTGAAAATAATTCATTAATTATTAATTCTGTTGCTTTTATTTTTGTTGTTGTTATAAGTATTTATATCAAAGGAATATCGTATTTGGTTGTTGTTATACAGGGTGCTACAAATTCGCGGTTCGAGCATTGGTATCTCGGAAACCGTAATAGATACGAAGATGGTTAAATTGGGGCAAAGTTGTGCCTTGGGCTGTTCACCAAGATGCCATCAAAAAAGGTTTAAAAATTTCAAGGATTGCTGAGTTTTTTTGAAAAAACGGATATTTTTGAAAACTAATTTTATTTTTTCCTGTCGTTACTTTTTAGAAAATCAAAAAACTAATTGCACATTCTAATAGCCATTTTATTAGGGCTATCTGAGAGTATTTTTAGATTTTCAAATTAGCTGATTGTTTGTGAGATACAGAGGCCAACTTAATTTTTTTAAATACGAACCTGCATTTTTTATTTCAGATTTTGAAAGAACTCAGTCTCCTGAGTACAACAATATGCCACACTTTATATTTTTTTGTTGTTTTGGGTACCTTAACAGCAACAAAACTATTTAATTATTATTTAAAAAAAATCAAGTCCGACTCTGTTTTTAAATTATTTAATCTGATTATAATCATCGCAACAACATTGATCAGTGCTAATTGACATTGAATAAGGAAAAAATTGAGCCAATTGAAAGATTCAAATAAATAATATCCAGATCAGCAATTTAAAGATATTATTTTTAACTATTCTTATTGTGAATTTGGAATTATCAGTGTACGATCTAATAATTTGCATAATAATAATCGTAGTTATTATGAATAAATTAACTTCTACAAACTAGTTTCTAATGCTTTACATAGTCTACATGTTCGAAAGGGTTAACACCCTCTCTATTGCACAAATTTATTTCGTTCAATTTTATTTATAGCTTTTGAATAGACCTTCTTATACTTTCGAATGCATTTTGTACTCTTTATTGTAATTGCCGAGATGTGTTGATTTCACTTTTTTGTAAAATTTGGATCTGTCGAATTACTTGACGTCATCAAACGGTCCAGGTACCTCGCTGCTCAACCATTTCCAATTCATCTTCCGGGGAAATGATTTGATTGTTTATAATACATTTTATTTATATTATTTTCTATTATTTTATTGCATTTGATTTTCCGTATTCAACCCACGTTACTGTTAAGTTTGAAAGCTTTTCAATATTGTAACGATGAAAATATTAAATATTAAAAAAAACAGAGCCTGACTTGAAATTAGTTTAAATAAATTGTGTCCAAATTTCCAAAACAAAAAAATATTAAGTGTGGCATATCATTGTACTCAGGAGAGCGAGTTCTTTCAAAATCTGAGATAAAAAATGTAGGTCCATATTTAAAAAAAATAAGTTGGCCTCTGTATCTCACAAATTATCAGTTGATTTGAAAATCTAAAAATACTATCAGATAGCCCTAATAAAGTGGCTATGAGAATGTGCAATTAGTTTTTTTGATTTTCTAAAAAGTATCGACAGAAAAAAATAAAATGGACTTTCAAAAATATCCGTTTTTTCCAAAAAAACTCAGCAATCCTTGAAATTTTTAAAATTTTTTTTGGTTGCATCTTGGTGAACATCCCAAAGCGCAACTTTGCCCCAATTTAACCATGTTCGTATCTATTACGATTACCGAGTTACCATTGCTCGTACATCGAATTTGTAGCACCCTCTATACCCTTCACATTTTTTAGATACTATGCTATTTTAAAGCCTTTGCAATCGGGTAACTTAGATGAACGAGGCAGAAAAATGGTAATTACAGCTTGGCTGGGAGCAATAATTTGCAGTACACCTCAGGTTAGTTAAAAAAGACACTTCTATTTCACATAACTACACTCACCGGCACGAAAAACGCACACATTAAAATTTTGACATATTTATTTTAAAATTTAATATATTTTGTTCTAGTGGGCCGATTTAATGATTTTTTTCAGCAATATCTGGCTAAATTATTTGACTTTTTTAGTATCTTTTTCCAAATTAAAAATTAAAGTTCCCATCTGTCAATTATACGACGGAAAACAAAATGTTGATATTTTGGTGAAAGTTTGACATACCCTGTGGAATATGTTAACACTGCAAGGAATTTACAAATCATTTTGTTATCTAGATACATCCTTTCTCTATAGTTTGTTTTGTTGGTTTCTCTCAGTAGGTTTACTTTTGTTGGAGATATTTGCTTTTGAAGAAGGCTCTAATATTTTTTCGTAATTTTTACATTAAAACCATGCCTTTGCTTTTGGTCCTAGTCAACCTAGGTCTGTTAACTAAGTCGTGTTCCCCAAGCCGGCCTTCTTGGCATAAGGTTTGCTTCGTTTAACTATCTTCTTACTTCTTACAGTCCGTTCACTTTACCAGAACGTTCCATATTATAGGGTGCAAATATAAACTATAAACTTAGAATAGGTCAAGGCGATTCGAAGTTCTCATACGAAAGTTTCTAGGCATCTAGCATATAAACATGTCTCGAGAAAGCGACTGCACTGTACTTCGTGCACACCTAATCTGTTAGCAACATAATTTTGATATCTATCATCTTCAATTAAAGCAACTCCTATATATAGATACAACTCTTGGACTTAAAACCTATCTAATAAAGTAACTACCTATCAGCCAATAGGCAATAATAATATGATTTTTTAACAACAGTGATCTTACATAAATCATATACATTATTTCATAGGTCTCTTGGCTGGGACCAAAAGCAAAATATTAGTGTCTTCTTCAAAAGCGAATATCTCCAAAATAAATAAAGCTATTGAGATGAACCAAATAATAAACTATCAAGAAAAAAATTCACCTAGATGATAAAATGATTTTCAAATTATTTACTTTTTTAACATATTGCACCAGGTTATTACAAATTCCAAACTTGCACCAAAATAACAACATTTTGTGTTCTCTCATATATAATTGACAGATTGAAACTTACTTTTTAATTTAGAAAGAGATACTAAAAAGTCAACTAATTTAGGTACAAATTGCTTAAAAGATCATCAAAATCGGAACCTTATAGAACAAAATACAGGGTGGTCCGAACTGTATTCCGGAAACTTCGGCAGCATATTCTGCACATAAAAATAAGTAAAAAAGTTCGTATATATAAATGTACGTCCTAAAATGCTTACTTTCAGAGATACAGGGTGTAGAAGTTTCATTTTAATTTCGATTTTTTCCAAATAATTTCTGAAGCAACGTCAATATTTGGATGAAAATTGGTGCCTGGGTGTTTTTTGACATGATAAATTTGATTTTGATGTCAATATCACTCCTACTAGTAGAGGGCACAACTAACATGTGTTTTAACTGTTTTGAAGAGTAATAACTTTTTGTCCATACCTGTATAAAACTACCGAGCGAAAAATATACTGTGACTTTTACGTAAAAATATCTCTTTGTAAAAATCGGTACAAGCAACCGTTCTTAAGATATTTAGAATGGAAATAGTCAATACATGTCATTATTGACAAAAAATAAACACATTGAGTAGATAGTTATTTCACTGAATTAAAAAAATTTGGGAAATTTTTATATTTTTAAATTAATCATAAATGTTTCGGCAAAAAATTATGATAAAACAGTTTCTGTTGAACTTTTGGCACAAAAACATTTCAAATTTATGATTTCAGTCTAATAACTATTTAGTCAACATGTTTAATTTATGTCAATGATGACAGGTATTGATAATTTCGATTCGAAATATCTCGAAAACCATTACTCGTAGCGATTTTTACTAAGAGACCTTTTTCACGTAAAAAAACGTTGTAAATTTATATTTTTTTGCTCATTAGTTTTATACAGGTACGGACAAAAAGTGATGATTATTCTTCAAACCAGTAAAAAATATGTAAGTGGCGCCCTCTACTAGTAGGAGTCATATTGACATCAAAATCAAATTTCTCACGTCAAAAAACTCCCTGACACCAATTTTCATCGAAATATTGAGGTTACTTCAGAAATTATTTGGAAAAAATCGAAATAAAAATAAAACTTCTACACCCTGTATCTCCGAAACTAAGCATTTTAGGACATATATTTATGCGAACTTTTTTACTTATTTTTATCTGCAGAATATGCTGCCGAAGTTTCCGGAATATAATTCGGATCACCCTATATAATTGACAGATTGAAACTTAATTTTTAATTTAGAAAGAGATACTAAAAAGTCAACTAATTTAGATACAAATTGCTTAAAAGATCATCAAAATCGGAACCTTATAGAACAAAATATATTAAATTCTAAAATACATGAAAATTTTAAGGTGCCCGTTTTTCATGCCGGTGAGTATATATTTATCAAAACGATATTATGGCATCAACAATAATTCCTGCAGATATTTCTATTTCACGTGGAAGTCCATCCAAAAATCGATTGGTACCATCAATGCGTCACGTATCACAGCTACCCATCCTATGCTCATGAACTGGCTTACAACATATTTGGAATGGTGATGATGTACAGCTTTCCTTTAACTGTTATTATATTTTCTTATGCTTCCATTTTATTGGAGATATTTAGGAGAACCAGAAATCCAAATCGAGGTAAGTTTCAATCAGCATCAATCAGCTTTACTTTTCACAGAACCCTCGTACGTGCCTTTCTCAAAAAAGCAATTTTATGCAATCATTCCTTTACTACAAAGAAAGCTCTTCTAGCATCCAATATAAACGTGGAAGATATCACACCAGCTGTTATTTGCTTTCGTATATAGAGACAGATTTTGATATATTGCATTTTTTGCTCTTTTGCGAAGTTGGGTCAGAATTTTAAACTTGAAAATCGTTCAAAAAGGGGTATTGGTTCAGGAACTTTACCTTTTTATTTCTTTTCTTCATTTTGTATTTTTTATTGATTTTATCATTTTGATCTTATATTATTTAAAATTTGGTATTAAAACATCTTAGACAACGGAAAAACACTAAATTTCGTTAATTTATTTGGATGCAAGTGCGATTACTGAGTTATATCAAAAGATATTTTAATACCCTTTATACAGGGTGTCCCAGAAATAAGTGCAAATATTTTAAGGGGTGGTAGATCTCGATAAAAGAAACATATTTTCTCTTTATCGTTTTTCAAATAGGGCCAAAATAACGGAGTTATTTTACTTTGAAAAATTCCAAAAAAAATTATTTTGTGCTAAAATTTTTAGAACCACCAGATCTTGTTTTTCTTTCTTGTAAATTTAATCTAATACCTATGTTGCTATATTATCAAGAAATTATGTTTTTTAACTAAAAACTAAAAAAAATTCCAAAAAATTTTTCAAAAAATTTCAAATTTTCAAAATTATTTTTTGGCGAAAAAAACCTCATAGGCGTGTTTCTGGGGCTGGACTATACCACCAGTTAAAATATTTGCACATATTTCTGGGATACCCTGTATATCGGGTGCGTCTCAAAAGTGGCTCACCCTTATAACTTTTTAATTTTTTCAGATAAAAAAAAACGAGATTTAGAATTCAATTATTTTCTGTCACTTCCTGTTTCACCGGAAATAACTACAACTTTTGTTTTTTAAATGAGGCCCTTGGTATTTTTTACTTCGTTTGATAGAAAATGACATTCTGAATAGAATGATACAGCATATGTCAGCTTTTAACATTTTCAATTAATAAAATAGCATTTTAAATTTTAATTTAGAGTGCCATGGCCATATAACGACAATTTGACTCGAAATACCAACTGTGTGGTATTAAATTATTCGTAATTTTTTTTTCCAAATATGCTAATGAGCTATCTTCGTTCCATTTTAAAGAAATTGAAATATGATTAAAAATACGATTTGGGCATCTTTTAACCGGCCAGGACAAGACACCAAAAACATTAGACGATCAAATCTATTATTCCAAGGCTTCTTGATTAAAAATTTGTGTTTTAACACACCCATATGGCACCAGGGCCGTATCTGGGGGGGTGTTTTGGGGGTTCAAACCCCCCCCGAAATTATGGCCGAAATTTTTTAAAAAGTAATGATCATTGAGTAAGTAAGAACGAAACAAAAAAAGAACAAGATGGATGAATATCTATGACTAAAGAATACAAGGACATGTAACGCCCATATACGGGCTACAGCATAATTTATGACCTTAGACGTTAACTTTTTAGACATAACGAATGAATCATCAGCTGGTCATCAGCGACAATTTTAGCGATTTTTAATAGTTGGTTGCGTGTAGTGAACTTTGTATAAACTTTATTACAATATTACAATGGTAATTTGTTCAGCTGTCAAGTGTAAAAGGCGCAATGATAAGAAAGAGCCAGAAGTTACGTTTTATAGGGAAATAAACAGTCCCCTACACCTTTTTAGCGTTTTTTTTATTGAATTCGATAATTATTTTTCTGATATTATATGTACTTGATATGTACTATACGTCGATACTAGTTATGTACCTTTTGTTAACATTTTAATACGTTTTTTTCGTAATTAATTAGTATGATACCACCCGATACACCATAGGCGTAGTGAAAACACATGATACAAAGAATACAAGGTATGATATTGCGCAGGTTGGTTACTACGTCACAGGTGATAAACGGCACCATTGGTCGGCAAGCTCTGCGCGCCAATTTCAAATTGTCAAAGAGATTGTGTCATCTGTGAAATTTGATTGTGTCAAAATGTGAAAATAATTTTTCAAATGTCAAGCTCGATGTCAAAACATAACTTTTGGGGTTATGTCCTAATTCTTCTCTATTTTAGGTCTTTTTTTATTAGTGACAATTGAACAATATGGATATTTTTTTGTATGGCGTATGACGTCACAGGTGGTATGCGCAAACTTAACGAAATTGGAGCTGCTATCGATCATACCTTGTTTTCTTTGTACCATGGTGAAAACATATAATATCAAAAATATAAATACCCCTTCAAGCGGCAATGTTAAGTAAAATATGTGCTACGACACTGTTTGGAAGAATGGTCACAGTTTGGTTTCGGGTGCTATTTGTCCTTGTATTCTTTAATCATTGATGAATATACATTATACATCCTAACCTCACTTTTCCACTTTGAAAGCAAATGTCATTTTCAATTTTCGACTTTCAACATTCAAGTGTTTAAAACAGCAAAAGTTTGACAAGGACAAGATTTTGAATGTTGTGTGTTTTGCTGGTCATTAACGTGATTAACGTTTGTTATTGTTCTGCTATTAGACAAAGAATTCTTGGACTATGACACTTTAGCGGCAGAACTAGACTTGTGGCGGTAAAAATGGAAGCAGCTACCTGCAGTCGACCGACCTAAAAACGCCATCGAAACGATAATCGGAGTGTAACCAGTGGTCTACACCAGGGCCATGTAAGTGAAATATTAAAAATGGTTCCAGCAAAAGTTTCCCAATTATGACGGATGATGGCGCTGGTCGTCAAAATTTTTGGACAGGGATTTTGCTTACCGACAATACGACGTGAGCTACGACCGGACCAGGACCAATCAGAATGATCAGTCTTTCTTGGACATTTGCCGCGGAAGTGTGTGTTAATTTCTGTTGTGATAAGTGTGGTTGTGTTTGCAGTTTGATTTTTTCGGTTTTGATATTATGTTAAAATTAATTTTGAAGTATTGTATCACCTGTTTTTATGTAATAGTACTTTTTTAGTTCTATGATCTGATATGTTATGATTTGTTAATGTTTGTTTAACAATGTTATACCAAAGAGGTTATACTTAATATATTTATCAATTTGCATAGCCTAACTTTTTTATCAATAAACTTTGTAGATTTTCAGATTATTTAATTCCTTTTGTTTCCCTTTGTAATTTTATTTTTAAGACATATTATGTGATTGTTTCACATAATATGTTTTAAAAATAAAATTGCAAATAGCGAATAAAAATAATTAATATAAAAAAGTGTATTTTACAATTCCCCCCGGCCCCGCACCCCTTTGGCTAACCTATAATGTCAACTATGTCGAGAGATGGCGTTACGAAAATGGAACCGATTTATTACAAGGAACTTGGGCTTCTTTTTCGTTAGTATATTCTGTGGTCTACACCAGAAAGGTCTTTTTCAACCCTAATGCCGCAACCGCACATGCGGTATTCGGCGATCTCCGATCGGGGCTTCGCCGATTTCCTATGTGTGTGGATGAAGAAGTCGGAGTTCGGCGACCCGATCGGCGACGAGAACGAGCGCTCATCTCTATGTTGTTGCTATCAGAGCCCGCATGTGTGGATGGAAAGGCGAAGTCCGATCACGAGCGTTCGGTAGTTGACGAGCGCTCGAGTTCAAGCTAAATGCCGCATGTGCGGTTGCGGCATAAGACGATTAAGGACTTCCTACGTAACTCTACAGGTCAGGAGCGATTGACAGGACTTCCTCTATTAAGCGTACATAGAGAAATAAATATCGATATCGAAGAGGTAGTCAATCGTTTTTCCAGGGAAAAGACCAGTTTATCCTTTAAGATTAATAATTTTTACCTGTTACTTTTTTAAAATTTTATTTTCAATTAAGATTTGAGCGTAACCCAAAGCGATTTTTTTATTATGCTTTTTTCCTAGCAGCTTTTGTACCCCCCTCCAAGTCACCCCCCCCGAAATCTTGGTCTAGATACGGCCCTGTATGGCACCCTCTAGGTTGAAATTTAAAATACGATTTTTTTAAGCGAGAATGTCAAAAGTTAACATTATGTTATGTTATTCTATTCAGAGTGTTATTTTCTATCGAATAAAGTAAAATAATACTAAGGGTGTCATTTAAAAATCAAAAGAGGTAGTAATTTCCGGTGAAACAGAAGTGACCGAAAACAATTGAATACCTACGTCAATCAACCCTAATTGATGTCATATACTAACATAATAAATCTCGTTTTTTTGTCTTAAAAAAAATGTTATAGGGGTGAGCCACTTTTGAGATGCACCCGGTATATATATATAGAGAACGAACTAAGAAATATCTTAAATTTACCAAATTAAATAACATTTGTGTTCCAATACTTAAAGCCCAGAAATGTTCTTCTCTACTTATAAGAATCCATACCTACATAGTTCTAGAAATATTTCGTGAAACATTTCAGACATAGTGTAGAGGGTGTTTAATGAATACACATGATTATCTGACATTTTAAAAAAATATATTTTCAAAAGATTATTTTATCTTACTACATAGAAATTGTCCCTACCCTATCCAGATAATTAAGTTTGGATGGAATATACTAAATAAAAGTCTAATCTCAAAATTATTTCTAATTTTTTTTCTGTTTTATATTTGTTTTTTTCTGTTTTATATTTAGCTGACAGTGTGACAAGATCAAGCCTGGCATTTTTGGGAAAAGCTAAAATTCGGACATTGAAGCTAACTATTCTTATTGTATTTGTATTTTTTGTATGTTGGACACCGTATCACGTAATGTGCGTATGGTAAGTAGATACAAATCTCGTATATCATATAACTACATATCTATATATTTAGGATATACAGGGTGGTCCGAATTGTATTCCGAAAACTTCGGCAGCATATTCTGCAGGTAAGTTTCGGAAATACAGGGTGTAGAAGTTTCATTTTTATTTCGATTTTTTCTAAAAAAATTATGAAGTAACATCAATATTTGGATGGAAATTGGTGCCTGGGAGTTTTTTGATCTGAGAAATTTGATTTTGATGTCAATTTGACTCCTACTATTAGAGGGCACCACCTACATGTGTTTTAACTGTTTTGAAGAGCAATAACTTTTTTTGTCCGCACCTGTACAAAACTACTGAGTCAAAAAATATAAATTGTCGTGACTTTTTACGTAAAAAATGTCTCTTGGTAAAAATCACCATGAACAACCGTTCTCAAGACATTTCGAATGGAAATAGTCAATACATGTCATTATTGACAAAAAAATAAACACATTGAGTAGATAGTTACTTGACTGAAATAATAAATTTGGGAAATTTTTATTTTTTTAAATTAATCATAAACTTTTCTTCGAAAAAATAATGATAAAATAGTTTCCGTTCAACTTTTGGCACAAAAACCTTTCAAATTTATGATTTCAACTCAACTATTTAGTCAACACAGTCAACATGTTTAATTTATGTCAGTGATGACATGATAATTTCGATTCCAAATATCTCGAGAACCATTACTCGTAGGGATTTTTACCAAGAAACATTTTTTACGTAAAAATTGTAGTAAATGTTAATTTTTCACTCAGTAGTTTTATACAGGCACGGACGAAAAGTTATTGCTCTTTAAAACAGTTAAAATACATGTAGGTGGCGCCCCCTACAAATAAGAGTAATATTGACATCAAAATCAAATTTTTCATATCAAAAAATTCCCAAACACAAATTTTCATCCAAATATTAACGTTACTTCAAAAATTATTTGGCAAAAATCGAAATAAAAATGAAAATTTTTCACCCTGTATCTCCGAAACTAAGCATTCTAGGACATACATTTATACGAACTTTTTTACTTATTTTTATCTGCAGAATATGCTGCCGAAGTTTCCGGAATACAGTTCGGACCACCCTGTATATTCTATAGTTTATTAAACAAGGTATAGTGATAATATAAAGGGTGAGTCTTAAGTTAAGTGCAAATCTTTTTAGGGGTAGTATATTTCGACCCCAGAAACACGTCAAAATTTTGAAAATTTGGATTTGTTTTTAATTTTTAGTAAAAAAAACATAATATTTTCATAACATGGCATCATAGATAGTAGATTATTTTTACAAGAAAGAACATCCAGAAAAGATTTAGTGGTTTTCAAAATTTAAACAAAAAATCATTTTTTTATATTTTCAAAACAAAATCAAGACAAAATATGTTTCTTTTATCGAGATCTACGACCCCTAAAATTACATGCGCTTATTTAAGATTCACCCTGTAGAGACAAAATAGTGTTATTTAGAGTTTTAAGGCTTACAAAATTTTCAGCCAACATAACTATACTCTGCGAATTTTCTGGTTAAAGCTTGCCAGTCAAGAAAAGTATCCAAAAATGCCAGAAACGTTATATGTATATACCACCTCATACCCATTGTTTTAATTTATGAAAAGCAAGCAACAAATCTGAAAAAATTGTCTATAAATGTCTCAAAGCCTATTTTATAGTTATTTCATAAAAAAATATAAAATCTGACAAAAGAAAAACATTTTTTATGCGTAGCTGAAACATATAGAAAAACAAAATCTCCAACGTCTGCATCATTGTTGATCTTCATCTTTTTCCTCTTTTTTTGCTTTATCTATTACATCTGCACCTTCGTTAAAATAAAATGACATGCTTTATCTGAAAGGACATCGGTAGTTATGAGCAAATAAATAAATATTCCGCCTTTGTTAATTTTCTCCTTACTTGGATCGATAGGTTTGTAAACAGGTGTTATTTACGAAAAAAAATCCCAACCCTTATTGCAAACTGCGTGAAATATAATCCACTGTTTTACTTCAAATGTGCTCTGTACAGGGTGTCCCATTTTCGTGTGTTTTAGGGGGTTTCTCGTCTATGATTAGAGATACAAAGAAGCGGTTTTCGTTTTCATATCACTGGACTCATGACTGGGCTACTTTTTTATGAAAATAAAGATGCTACACAGAGACTTAGCCTTCTTCCTGAAATACAGGGCGAATTTAAAAATGTTACATTTTTCGACCTCCTTCGTATCTTGATTGTCATAACTTTTCGATAAATTACAAATTGAGTTCCATGAGTTTTTCACGTATAATCCAGTGGCGTAACTAGTTTTTCGCTGCAAACTGTTATTATCGAAATATAACTCAAAGTTTTTTTTAAATAACACTCTCTAAAAAGCAATGTTCTCTTATTGTTTAACGTTCTCTTATAAGAAAAAACTGTAAAAGATACTTTTGTATATAATATTATAAATATATAATAATATATCTATTTCAAAATAAGAAATAATTAGATGATTTTATAAATAGTTTAACACCATTTTTTAAATAGTTTTTACCGTGGATTCGTGGATTATAATTTATAAAAGGCGGACAGCCAGAAAAGTTAGTCACTGTTGTTCTGCAGTTTTACGATGTTAAGGTTTGGAAATATACATTTCTTACTATATTGTAATTAATAATATTAGACAATGATTAAAACTAAGTATTCTTGTATAACTTTAGAGGAATAGCCAATTTAATCTATCATCGATAACTGTTTTCTAAATGCACTGTTTTTGATTTTTCATATCAGTTTAATATTTATTATTACATTACACTGCATTACAAACTAATGATATTTATTCATACCCCATGTTTATTTGTTTTTCAAAAGCCAGCACAATGTTGACCTTAATTACTTCGCCAAATAGTACGATAAATGGAGTGATCAGAATTAAAATGGATCAAGTCCAATTTTCTATTATTTTAAGATAATCGTTTTAATACGTTTATAAAATATTGTTTTTTCCAATAGAGAAATGAATCAAGTCATACTTCACGGATTAAACAGATAGTTTGTATCTGTTTGGTTTCTGAATATTCCGTTGATTCATTTCAGAAGTGAACTGGATCTTGGATCAAGTCCACAAAATTTAACCGATTTTAACACACGTTCTAAAGTTTAGAGCTAAAAAAATTCTCTTTTGATAAAATGGATGATAATGAAACAAAGTCTGAACCATTTGCACCAAGGGAATCAGATTATTAGCCATCTGAAAGGTCTGATTCTATCGATTCTGAAAGTATAGTTTGATTTATCCGAGGGGTAAACCGCAGAGGGAAAAGTGTACACCGTAATTCCTTTTACTCAAATAATTCCTCAGAATTCCTCGTAATTCCTTCGGAATTCCTTGGAATTCCTGGTCTTCAAGGTCAAGGTCAATCATTCAAGGTCTTCCTTGGAATTCCTTGGTACGAACTCGGTAACTCTTTCAGTCTGAACCAGCGTTGCCACCTCGGTTTCGCAGTTCCGCTATGAATTTTCTGGTGATTTTTATAAATGTCTAATGTCTCTATAAGTACTAGATCTAACAATAAAAAGTACTATTACGAGATTTACGTTTTTTTAGTTAAATTTTAGTACCAATAGGGGATCATGAGGTAAAAATACTGGAAATATGTCGGCACTTACTTATTAAAATTAATTTTTCTCGGGATTTTTTGAAAATGAGAGGTACCTAGTTATACTCGTATCTATAGGAAAGGAAATTAATAAAACTTCAGTTGCACGTCATAATACGATCACCAGTAAATTCCATAAGATTACGCATGGTATCATTGATGAAGTGCACCTAAAGTTGTATTAATTTTCCTATAGTATATACCTAGGTATTATTCCGAGGAAATGAAAAAATCAACTTTACACTTTCTGGAGTACTGAATAAAAAAATCTTATGAGGATTTCTTTAAAATGGCGAAATCAGGGAACGTTATAACTAGATCTCTCGGGGGTGGTTCGGCCGTACTATTGGAAAATATTTTAGATATATAATCGAGGGTACAATATTAAATTAAAAGAATATCTAACCTGTAGATATTCGATATTGGGAAATTTTGGAAGCGAAAAAGAAAAACGGATAGTAAAAAATCGCCTGCAAAACGTTTTTCTTTAAATTTAGTACTACCTATTATAGTATTCATGGTTTACTAATGTTCGTTAATTTTTTATAAAGTTGCTTGTAATTCCTCTTAATTCCTGTGGAATTCCTCTAAATTTCTAAGGAATTCCTTGGAATTCTTACGAAAATAATTGGAATTCCTAGTAATTCCTATGGAATTCCTTGGAATTCCTCGTAATTCCTTGGAATTCCTGTAGAATTCCTTCATAGTGTACACCATAATTCCTCTGCGGTTTACCCCTCGGATTTATCATTATTTTCACTATTACTGTATCAATAAGTTAGGCTGTTTCTCTTACAAATACTTAGATATCTGACATGTTGTTGATCTGAATAAAACTGTACGAGGAAGAAAAGTCTCATCATTTCATATAGATGTAAGGTAACACGCTCTAAAAGTCAACACATGAAAGATCTTCTTCCCTTTATCCCGCCTATATACCATAATTTTTATAAAAATCGAAGAGAATGCGATTAATAGACAATGTAAAATCAACAAATCTCTTAATGATAAAGAATAATGCACCAATGAACCAATTTATATCTCAAATTTCAAATATATTCAGAAATAAAATGGTTCAAGTCCAAAAAAGTATAAACAAACTAACAAACATTCTTAAAAATAACCACAGTTGTATTTTGAGATACTTTAATTTGCAATTATACAATTTAAAATATAACAAAGCAGTGAAGTGTTCTTCTCCAGCTTGTTTTATTTTAATTAAGTAACATTAAAAAACTTTAACTCTTATTTTCTCCATAATTATCTTCTAGGACTTGATCCAGTTCACTTCTGAACCCCTCAAATATAAACGCATGTTACAAAAATTTTGTTGAAACTGATCGAATTGATCGAAACGTTTCCCGAAATAGATTGAGACTCTGTCTAGAAACTTGCTATTAGACTGTGTCTCGGACTATTTCGATCTATTTCGAAACTTGCGGCCGAGATTCCGCGCAACAAAAAAAAACATTGAGTTTACTTCTCAAAGTATTTCCAGAAATCCTTCGCGAAATGTTTCGGGCATAGTGTAGAAAGTGTTAAAGAATAACAACTTTCAGCGAAAATCGAGTTACCTACGAAACTGAATTCTACGTGAAAAACTCTATACCACTCAGATCTCACCTTTTTGATAATGTTACGGATTCCGTGGGTCCACTAATTTAAACTCACGATAAAATACTTAACAAATTTGTTCTCTCACTATATACACACAATTTATACTGATTACAACACACAATTAACCATTTATAAAATCCTTGGCCAAATTGTCACGATTCACAATTTAACCATATTTTTCAAACTACAAAACTTAACTGCCCAACTGCCGAGCGCGCTCTTTTTATATATCGTATATATCGTAGCGACTGTTTCTGGAACGTTCGCTATTCTTAGCTATTCTCTATAATTTTCGATACCCTTCTGCCATCTACCAGTAAATTCTACTGTTTGGTTAGAAGTTAGAACCCGCTGTTCTACTTGGCTAAGAGGTGGTGTCTCAATCAATGTCGTCAACCAACAATACACGTTGCGGTTGTAGCTTCTCGCTTATCCGACAGATGTCGCCACACGTAGCTTGACAATAAGTTAGACAACCGAGATACAAGGATAGTCTAAAAATGCAACAATTTCAAATTCGCCCTGTATTTCAGGAACTAAGATGGCTAAAAGAAATTTATGTGTATCATCTTTAGTTTCATAAAAAGTAACATAGTAATGTGAAAACCGCCCCTTTCTATCTTTACCCATAAACGAGAAACCCTGTAAGGTACACGAAAATTGGACACCATGTGCTTTATTTATAGATGAATTAACAAATATGATTTGTTTTATAAATGTTTTATTTTTCACTCAGGTATTGGTACGACAGAGAATCAGCTCAAAAACTCGATCCACGCATTCAAAGAGGCCTATTCTTGTTTGCCTGTACCAACTCCTGCATGAACCCCTTAGTGTATGGTCTATTCAGCATCAAGTCTTGCAGGAAACCCGTTAAAGTCAAGCCAAAACTTTATAACATTCCTACGCCAAGAACCTCATGCATACCACCTCCAATTTCTTCAGAAACTAAACTATCACCCCTGGAAATATCCTTAAAAAGTCTGGAATAAGTATGTATAAGTTGTCTGTATCGTGGTACAATCAAATACTACAGTTCAATATATGTTTTGATGTGTTCTCAAAAGAACACTTGATTTCAGCAGTTCGTATCTATATGATTGACATGTGATTTAAGTATTTTTATAATTAACTTTATCGAAATACTAATTTATAGTACCTAATATTTATGGTTTTGAGTTAGTCTTTTGAGTCAGACAAAACGTACGTTGAATATTTAGCGTGTAGGTCTAGCTTTATTTTCTCTAAATTAGGGAGAAGCATAAATATTTATATTAATGACTTATTTTATAAACTGAAAATGTTTTATATAAAAAATATTATAAAAATTAGTGAAGTTTCTGTCTAGTCCTTCAAAATATATATGTCACCTTGTTTTTTAAGAATATATTTTTTCAGTAAATTAAATGTATATTTTATCTACTTAAAAAATATTGATAGATTGTTATTTATTAGAAATGACTATGAGTTTATATTTGATGTTGAAATAAAAAATATATCTGTATATTTACATTTGTATCATTTTTTTGTCGATTAAATTAGTAATAATGATAATTAATAAATTATTTTTATGGATATCTCTGTCGTATATCTAATGTACATCCAGCTGAGATATCCAAACATGCTCATGATAATAAAATATCCTAACAATATCGTCTAGATATTTAGGAAAAATAAATAATGTACAACTTTTTATATTACATAAAATGCAATAAACCATACAGATAGATATACATTACGTCAAACAAAACAAAATATCCTGTTGGTATCTTCTGGATAATCTGGATATTTATGCGCTTGGCCACTCCCAGTAATACAGAGAATTTAAAACGCCCGCGCAAAAAATTTCCCACAATCCATCTCGACTCTCGACAGTTGTTTATTTTTGATGGTTTTTGCATCGTGTATTATTCAGTTCTTTGATTTAGTGAAATTCGCGGTGAATTCGGTCGTTTGAAACTAACAAAACTGGTTGAGTTTGACTTAGTTTTTTCTTATACTCATAGTTCTAGCCTTGTTCTAGCAGAAATTCTGTCCTAACCTCAACTAATGTCGAAAAACGACGAACAACTCAGGGTCTCATAATGAAGAATTTGTGACAAAATTATAGGTGAACATTTGTTGAAAATCGCTTGTTCCTTATCCCTAAACCCATTTTCGTGTTTGATCTATTCAAACAGAAATCCTATTTTTCAGTTTAAATTGTGAGTTTCTGGAATGTGTGGTGTTAGAAATTATACCTGTATCCTGTGTGCTAACTTTGATGTAAACTGTTGTTGCTAGACATAAACTGCTAGACTCTATAAAGGGTAGTACCGTATGATCGAATAAAAACGGCGTCAGCGATGGCTATGAAATGAAGATCGCTGTCATTTTATATGTAAAATTATATGGGAAATGTCAGCGATTGTCATTTCCCAGCCAACTGGACGCCGTTTTTTTCGATCATACGGTATAATCTGGTATAATACCATACGATCGAAAAAAACGGCGTCAGAGGTGGCTTGGAAATGAAGATAGCTGTTATTTTGTACTAAAATTATATGGGGAATCGTAATTTTCAAGCCAATTGAACGCCGTTTTTTTTCGATGGTACAGTATAAATTGAAAGCTCTTAACTCATACAAATAAACTTATAAATTTTGACGCAAAATTTATTGACATATTTATGTAGGTATATTTTCGAGCTGTTAATAAAAATATCCAATGAATAACGTCAAAATGTGGCTAAATAAAACTAAATCGCGAACGTTTTTACTATAAACTAAGGATGAAGTAACTATTGTCAAATAACAGTCCTCATATAATGTCCTAAAAATATTCTATAATGCTCCCAACATCATCCTTGTATTATCCTAGAAATATTCTAAATAATTGTAAAAGGCTTGCCTAGGGATGTCTTGAAGATTACTTTTTTTGTCCCACTTGGATATCCCATAAATATCCTCCTCTGGTTTTTGGATATCACTAAGATATTTACTATATCCTTGGTGAATATCCTCAAAATATCTATAGGATCATGTTGTGTTATATGGGATTATTTTGGGTCGCAACCGTTGTACGCGATCTGGCGCTGCTATAGCGGTTGCTAAGAAGAACAACCGCAAACAAAAACAGAAATAATTTTCTCTTGTCCATATCTCCTTCATATCTCTTGTCAGTCAGAATCTTCAAAAATTATAAAATTTTTCAAAATCTAAATCGCTCTTATTAAAAAAGCGTTTAAAGCGTCCATTTTCAAAGTAATTATTGCTATCCTGTGAGTTTAATTTAAGTTTTATTTACTCAAAATCGTGATAATTGTGAAAAAGTGGCATTAAAAACTTAAGAAGTTGTGCTGTGAACTGTGAACATAGACAAAAGCCATCGTGGATCGAAGCATAAAGTCGGTTTCCAATGTTTCATAGGCATTTCATACATGTCCTTATATAAAATAAAATTTCTTGTATGCAACACACTGTATTTTATTCACAAAATTAAAAGAAAATAATAATAACTTTAAATAAATAATATTTGGCGATATAATTCCGGAGAAATCCGAACCGCCCCGAAATTTTTAAAAGCTTTGGGTCGCGACCTTTGCAAGAATAGCGCCAAATAGTGTTTCCATTGTCCTTATGGGCACTTTCCAATCTAAACTTGTTTCATTTATCTATGTCGGCATATTTTATAAAAAAAAATATGAATGAGCTTCAGAATATCCTTATTTGTGCTAAACCGAGACTAAACTTATAAAAAGAACTTGAAGCTATCTGATTTTTTCTAATTAAAATTAACAAAAACGAAGGTAAAAACTTAAATAATACGAGTACAATGGGAAATACAGGGTGTTTCAACAAACATGGGCTATCTGTCGTGGGGACATTCTTCACATAAAAATAAGTTTTATTTTTCATATCAACATGGGTCCGATTCTGCTTTCTTTAATTCTTTTTTGAAACACTCTGTAGATGGTAAATCTGTAATCAATACTACATCCATTTTTTACAATTGAGAGAAAGAAAATATAAAACTGTATAGAAAGAAGTGTAGTTTTTATTCTAATTTTTTTTGGGAAAATACTGTATTCTGTCTAACGAGAGGATAAAAGGATACATGACATGAACAATTGTGTCTGTCATTTTAATTCACCTATAAATTGTATTTTCTCTTATTTTTTTTTTTTTGGATGTCATCTGCTGAAATCTTTCCTGACTCGTTGGACAGACTTTATAAAAAAAATAATATTCACTTTGGCTATTTTAATGTAATTTTAATTTAAATTACATTTTCAATAAAATTTGATATTTATACAAGTTTTGATGCCTTTATAAAGTTAAAGAATTGCATGGAATTGTTTTAGTATGAACGAATTTAAATTTATAATAATATGATAAAATCCAAGAATTCTAAACAAATATAAGTGTTTATTTATCTATGAACGACGCATAGTGTTTTAAGACACTTTTAACTCTATAGTTATACTCGTCTTTATTTTTCAACTCCACGTTAAAAGTATCTCCAATATGTCCACTTTCGGCACCTTGCACCAAATCTGCCACTTCATCTGACTCAGACAACTCGATCTTCAGAATAAAGGGAGCCATGGCTATGCCGAATTTGCCATACAGAAACCAGTGGCGTCTTAAGTCTTGCAAAGTAACGCCCGTATTTGTTTCGCCCATTTCCAGAAGGAAATTTGTGAGGTGGTAATGGTAGGATTGTAATATCAGGTCAAAATACTGAAGTACCGATTCGTCTGCCACAGAGTAGAGGTAGTAGGATAAATCACATATAGGAGATCCCACGCTGCTCAACTGAAAATCGATAAACGCCATGTTGGAGGGTTGGGTTTTGTCTTTGTTCTGAAAAAGAAAATTTACACGTAGTTAAACAAATTTTATATTACCCGGTAAAACTTATGGGTAATCCAGTGATTAAATTTTAACTTGGAGTGCAACAAAACAATAAACTTACCTCATAAGCAAACATCATGTTGTTATTCCAACAATCACCATGAAGTATCACAGACAACCCATCAGGCAAATCACTAACTTTGCATAAAGCCCTCTCGATATCATTCTCATTAAAGTCCAGCTTTCTAAATGCTACTGGATCTTCCTCTTTAAGGAGCTCACGAGCCAATTTGAAGTCACTGAACATTCCAGGAACCATGCCAGCTTGAATCACAAACTGCGAAAGAAGATCCGTCATGTCCTTAGTCAGATTTTTGAAGATTTCAGGCTGTTGACGTTTCATTGCAATGGATAGAGCGTGAAATCGGGCATAGTTTTTGAAAACAATAGCGACATGATGGAGATTTTGAGGTGTTTTTCTATCATGGATATCGTATTTGAGAGATTTCATGTTTTGTAATATTATAGCTTCTTTTCTGTCTTTGTTGTAGACTCCATAACATCTTGGAAAATTATCAAAAATATGTTCGACCTCATTTTCCTCTTGGAATTTTGTAAAAGCAGGCATAATGACAGTATATACATACATTTCTCTTTGAAATACCTCTTCAATAGGTGTCTGTTTTCTCAGTTCTACACTTTGCTTAGCTGATTTTATCACTAAGTGATATATTCTATCTGTAAACGTGGATATTTTGACGAAAGTTACTTCCCCTAAATAGCCATCCCCTTTGCTAGTTTTTCCGGCTACTTCCAGTTTATATTGAAAGATTTTTCGCTTTTCTAAGAAATCTCTTAACCAAGAATGCACGTCTGATTTCGATTCACCCATTTTTTCAAACTAATGAAAGTTCTGTACTTTCCCAGTTGGTTTTATTATTCCATACTTATATGAAATAGCGGTTTCCCCACTATTAAAGGCAGCAACACAATAATTTGTATTAAATACTACCAGTTAACCACTTTAATTAAAAAAAAGAAGGTAAAGGTTGATTATCTTAGATAATAATGCATGATTTTCTACACAGGCGTACTATTATTACAAAACAAATATGTACAGGGTGGCGCACCTCATTCTCCTTGGTTAATTATACGAAAACGGAAAGATGTAGAACCAAAATATTTTATGAGTATATATGGGAATGCAATGTGCATAATTTAAAATTATTTTGAAAGTCACATGGGTGTGTCAGAACTAAGATCCACATCAAAGTTATATTTTTTCTTATGGAACACCCGGTATTTTATTTCATTTTTGGATTCTTGGACATAAAATAAGGCATTTATTATAAAGGTTTAATATGTCTAAAAACTTTAGTTTTTGAAATATTTAAAGTTATTTAAATATGCATGCTCTAATAAAAAAAATTGTTAACACCTTGTACATTACTCTTCAGAATTAATTCTTGTGCTGACTTTCAAGCCAAAGATAAATTTTACAAAAAAATTTGATTGCTTCCTTAAATGTATACAGGGGTACCAAAAATTGCTGGTTTATTTTAAATATTTTTTACATAAAAACTTCGTTATTTCAAATGCAACACCATCTATTTTTTTTAAATAAATCGAAACAGATTTAAATGCTCTTTCAAACTATATTAGGATTTCCTATACCTA